CATGGCGACCCCCGAATTCGTCCCAACGTTGGACCCAATTAGATCACATCGCTATCAACTAACGATGGAGGGGCTCGATAGAAGACTGTCGATCATTCTGGAGCACATGTTTAGACTCAGATCATGCTCTAGTGCGAGCAAGTATCTGTCTGCGTCTTACTGGACGAAGGAAAGACACTGCAGGGAAGCCTCTAAGGGTTCTACTTAATGATAGGCCAGCTAAGAATATATTTCAGGAACAACTAGAAAGACAGTTAGGCAGTTGTGTCCATCCCGAGGCAGTGTGGAATGACATCCGAAAAGCTGTGGAAAAAGCAGTGATATCCGCTAGTAAGGTAAACCATAAGGTTAAGGAGAAACAATGGGTCTCGCAGCATCTACCGCACTGATAGATGCTCGAAAACTCATCCCATCTGGCTCTGAACATAACGAAGGGCGGAGTCAGCTTAAGCTCAGGCTAATAAGAAGCCTATGCAATGATCGTGAACAGTGGTGGGTAGCGAAAGCAAGAGAGATGGAAAAGGCAGCGGCAATAGGTAACAGCAGACAGCTATTCAGACTTGTTAAAGAAACCGGCATTAGCAACCCAACTATTAGCGAAACTATCTCAGATAAAGATGGACATATCATTCATTCTCAATCCAGCAGATTGGATTGATGGGCAGAACACTTTAGGAAACAATTCAACTGGCGTTCAGCAACACTTCAGTTAACCACGATCCCCAGTCGTCCTGAATGGCAACTTGATGGTAGTCCTCCAAATCTCTACGAGGATGAAAAAGCTATAGGAAATCTGAAGCGAGGAAGGGCAGCAGGGCCTGACAGGTTTACTCCTGAGATTTGTGACGAAATCTCAGCACGGATACAGAAGGCTCGACTAGCTTTCACCAACTCGCGTCATTTATGGCGTAGGCGAGATATCCGTCTAGCAACAAAAGAACGGGTTTAATGTGCAGCAGTTCGTTCCGTTCTACTTTATGGCAGTGAAACATGGCCAATAAGAGTATAGGATATTCGTAGACTACTAGTATTTGATCACAGATGTCTTCGAAGCATTACTCGTACATGGTGGGACCACCGAGTAATTAATGCAGTTGTTAGGAAACGGGTACTAGGTAATGATGGCAAATCGATTGATGAAGTGGTGAAACTTCATCAGTTGAGATGGCTGAGACATGTGTTACGTATGCCCAACCACCGACTGCCACGACGTGCAATGTTTTATGGTGTAGGAGTAGGTTGGAAGAAAGCTAGGGGCGGCCAGAGCAAAACATGGCATAAATCCATGAAGGCGCTGACAAGTGGACTGAGCCATGTTGGTAGGTGTAGACTAGTACCTGGTTGAGATTTGCGAGATGATAGCAATCGATGGTTAAAGACCTTAAATGACATGGCTCAAAATCATTTGCAATGACGAAGGTGCATCCACTCTTTGTGTTCTCCCAAATTCTAATCTCCTGAATTCCTCATGTCTCTATCTTTTTCTCTTTCCAAATTTATTTCACTGTATTATACTCCTTCAAAAATATCTTCAAACCCTTATCTTTCACATAATGCTTATACTCTTACCACTTCTACCACTATGGGATTTGAATCGACAACTTCATCTCTGTGCTAATGTGGTATGGCAACTCGAATTGATGTAAGTACATACGAAGTTCTACGTTGTGACTGACTGACTGAATACTAAGAGCAATGCAAATATGTTTGGATTGAGAATTAGATAGTGTTATTGCCTGAATAAGTGATACAGGGAGTGAGGTAGTTGAGTGTGTCGACAGCTTTAGTTATCTAGGCCATCTCATCAATACTGATTGACTGTTGTCTGGTGAAATTTCGGCACAGATTCAGGAGACTCGGTTGGTTTATGCCAACAACTGTTTAGACGTAGTTGTACTTTTTCCATGATAGTTGAAATAGTTTTCTAAGTTCCAGGTTCGTGCAGTAGAGCTGTCTAAACATTTGTGTTAAAGATTCTGAATTCAAAGTTAGCTGAAAGCTGTTCCGAGTTCCATATGTTCTTCAATTGTAGGAATGCAGGTCTTGCTTTGTCAATCCTCGCCATCACGTCTGCATCAGATGCTCCACGTTCACCGATCTTACCAACCACATACGTGAATGTTTCAACCCCTTTCAGAGATTTTCCATCAAGTGTGATTTCGTTGTTATTAAAGATCATGCTTTTCCCCTTGTGTATGTTGAGGGCTACTACTGCAGAGACTGAAGCTGCACCGGTTGCCTTTACCTAAATTTGTTGGTGTATATAGGATAGAAGAACAACGTCATCTACGAAATTCAGGGTGGTCGTCTTTTAGATTGCACCTGTGAGATGACTTCAATGAACGACATTGTAGTGTAGTCTGTCGTAAGAATTCCGTACGATGGTGACAATTTTCTCACGTACACCATAGTGTCGAAGAAGGTTCCACAAGATTCTCCTATCCACACTGTCAAATGCCTTCCGATAGTTAAGAAGGTTGATGTATGGCAACCAGTTCAATTCACTTGATTGTTCAACAATAATCAATAGTGTCGCGATTTGATCCGTAAACGATCGATCCTTATGGAATTCGACCTGTTGTTCTCGAATTCGGACGTCCACTAAATTTTTCATCCGGTTCAACAACACTGTTGAAAACGTTTCCTGATACTGATAGTAGTGTGGTGCCTCTGTAGTCCTCACACTTACTGAGTCTCCTTTCTTTGGTACCTTGATGAGGTATCCTACTTTCCAGTTTGTCGGCACTTGTTTATCCCTCTGAATCTTCTTAAATAGAATGTGAAACACGTTTGCGGTTATTTTTATGCCTGACGTCAGTGCTTCAGCTGGTAAGGTGTTTGATCCTGCTTGTTTCCCACTGCTGGTTTGTCTAGTCACAACCAGGTGGTGATCTGAAGCTATATCAGCTCCTTTCCTGGTTCTCACATCCTCCATTGTCCTTCTGAATTTTTTATTCACACAAATATGATCAATATGATTCACTGTAGTTTGATTCGGTGAAACCTATGTAGTTTTGTGAGGCAATGTTGTGTCGCCGACAAACAATTTGTTGAATGCACATAGGTTTGTAAATCTCTCCTCATCCTCGTTTTTCTCTCCCAGTCAGACCATGTTGTCTCATGATATCTTCATATCCGGTGTTGTGCATTCCCACTTTGGCGTTTAGATTCCCCATAAGGATGACGAGATCCTTTCTTGGGCACTTCGCTATGATCGATTGCAGCCTTTCACAGAACTTATCTTTATTGTCGTGGTTGATATCATTGGTGGTTGCATAACACTGGATAACATTCATTATGATTTCATCTCTCTTTGTTTTGATAGATGCTTTGATGATCCTGGATCTGTGAGATTTTCATCCTATAAGTGCATTTCGTGCTTCTTTGGACAGCATCAGAGAAACTCCTTGAGTCTGTGGAGCACATTCCTCTTCGTGACCGGAATACAGCAGCATCTCTCCCGTACCTAACCTTTGCTGTTCAGCTTTGGTCCAATGTGTTTCACTTATTCTGAGCACCACCAAGTTGTATCTCCTCATTTCCGCAGCTATTTAACCTGTTCTTCCGGTCACCACATTGTCCGAACATTCCATGTACTTATATTAATCGTTGCTCTGACCTGGAAAAGGCGATTGACCTCGATACTTCTGTAAAGTCTCTGCTATCACCATGAAGACTCTTCAACTCTCAGGTCACAGTTTAAATGAGTTAAATTGCTTATTCTGGATACCAGTGTTTTAGCAAAGTCGTTTTCTACGGGATCGGGTTGCAGACCCAATTGGGATCGTCTAGTAAGCTATGTCTGTGTTAGGAATAGAGTACTATCTAAAGATGGGAAATCGATCAAACAGATAGTAAATCTTCATCATTTGAGGTGGTTGGGACATGTGTTACGCATGTCCAATCGCTGCCTACATCGAAGCGTCATGTTTTCTGTTGTAGGAGTAGGTTGGAAGAAAGGCAAGAGCGTCCAAACCAAATCATGTCGCACGTCCATGAAGTCACTGACAATTGGACTTAGCCGTGCTTATAGGAATAGACTATCTGGATGTGGTCTGCGTGGTTATTGAAGTCAGTGGTAAGAGATTTCGAATGACCTGGTTCAAAGTCGTTTTCAATGACGCAGGTGGATTCATTCTTTGTCTTCCTCAGAATTCGGAGTTTCTAAATTCCTCATGACCGTTTCTGTGTTTTTATTTCAGTAATTTATATTTTATTCTCGAATCGTATCTTCGATGCCTAATCTTCCCTATTACCACTGATACTGTTACTACCTCTACTATTCTAGGATTCAGTCTGAAAACCTTATCTCTCTGTGCTAATTGAGTATGATAACTTGAACCGATGTACATACGTACGGGTTCTACATTGTGACTGACTGACTGGTGGCTGATCTACTTAATGATTTTTTAAATAAAATGAAGTTTACAAGACTAGTACATGAACATTATACGCTGACTGGGTACAAAAAATTACAGTGGTAATTCAATACAAAGTATGCTCAGGTAAACAACATAGGGCTAAATGCTTAAAGTTTAGACAGCTGAATTGTAGTCTGAATAAACTGTAACTGTATTTCAATGACTGTGCAATACATCGAATATACAAAGATCAAAAAATGTTCCGTAAACAAGCAAAGCATTAAATTTAGAGAAACTGAAGGAGCAGTACAATTGACAATTATGACCAAATAGCTGACAGCCAATCGTACCAAATAATAAACCAAGGTTCAGAATTTTATTGTCACCACTATTACAGATGATGGAGACAAGGATATTACAAAACCTAAGTAAGCATCAATTTTTTACATCTGGAAAGTTAGAAAAAGAATTTACTCAATCATAAGATTGACATTATGGTTAAAGGATAAATTAACGAACAGTGGCTCACGAAGTACTTAAGCATACATTAAAAAAGGTGTAACAAGAATTGTGTGCGGAAAAGAAACCGTAGTACGTTGAAAAGTAACAAAAATAACACAAATACATAAATAAACTTACTAAATCTTCACTTCCAGTAGCATTGAAACCATTCTGTTAAAATAGAATTGCAAAATAAATTAAAGACTTCATATCACAAGATAAGTATTTCTTCATGCTGAAAATTACTAATTCATGCATGAAAGCAATATCATAAAGATAGGACAACAAACGATAAATGACTAGTCAAAAAAACAACATATGACGCAAGACTTGCACATGATCCTCACATATTGATCAATAAAGATATTGAAACAAGAGCAAGAAACTAAAAGTTACTCATAGGATAAGATAGTATTCATGTGCTTTGTCAATACAAGATGTGAAAAGAAAATTAACGTATTATTTATTAAAAATTGAATGATTATTAGGTGTAAACTGACTTATCGCTCGAAACTAATCCCACACAAATAACCAAAACAATAGAGTAAAACATCTTAGTTGAATTACAAGACCGTTTTCATGACAAATTAACACTATCAGGAGAACCAATAGGAAGACAATGAGTGTAGAATAATCGTTTCGTCCAACTTCAGGACTCCTCAGCACACCGAACCCCTGGCTCTGTACAGGATCAAACACCTTGGGTCATCGATTACTTTAATCAGGAAGATATCATTTAAGAAATGAATATGAGTTCACACTTTACAACTCTAGTTAATCTACAATATAGCGTGTGTCACTTAGCCTGATCTGAGGGTAAGTGTCCCGCTTCTTAAAAAATTAGTCTCAAAGGTTACAGCTTCTTACCAGAACGTGAGAGTATATAATTAGTCTGATCGTTCACAGGGATTTGTTTATGCTAAGTTGCGGCATGAGCTCACTCAGTCAATCATTAATACGCACACTCATATGCTCAAACTAATTGCAGAATAATTGAAAACGAATAATATATGACATTCATTTCATGGTACTGTATGGTATTTTAAGTGATCATCCACGACACTACAAATAGGATAAAGCCCATAACTTTCAGGATTCAAGAGAAGAACTGCTTAGTTTATAACACGAATTCCAATTTTTCAGAAGCCACTAGATATCAGAACAGTCATGCTGAAAAAACGAGCATTAAAGAGGAACAGTTTAGCTGCTAATAAGGTTTATTAACTGACTGAACAAAAAAAGCTGAAAATAACATTGTACCTGTTTGAATTATGACAATTGTTTCACAGATATACAACAACCAACATCTTGTAAACTTGTGTATAGATAAAAGAGGAATGTAGGAAACGTAAAATATTGTTAACAGAAGAATTCTATTGTCATGTATGTATGAGTGAACAGAATTAGGGAATGACACATACAAATGTCCATCAGTAGCAATTTCGTCATACATCTACATCATCAGAGCAACAACTGAAGAATAGACGTTCTATGTAACATATCTTTCAACAAAACAGGGTTATAATAAAAAGGTAACAAACTCAAATCAGCGAAAATAAACAACACAATTTATTCAAAACAACAGAATGACAACATGGTAAACTGACCACTAAGTGAGTATATAATGAGAAAAAAACCTGTCTGTAACAGTTTAGACATTATGTTTGTCATGCAGTACATTAGTTAAATGCTACAAAACCGAAAAAATTAAATATTCAAAAAATTCAAAGCATGTGAGAAATGCTGAATAAGTTTATATCAATGGAAGTTCTACTACATGTAAACTGTTAGAAATTAAACATTAATTCAATACGAAAATTGGTGCACTAAAATATACGCAGCTAATAATAAAGTGTGTAATAACACACAAATACTGACCAGGAATCCTTTACTCATGAAATATAACAAGCCAAGAGATCAGAGACATGATTTACCCGTATTGCTACATCGTCAATTTACTTAAAATTTAAAAGAACTAGAGATTGAAGCACTAATAATCCACAGTGGAACAATAACATACCGGTTTTCATTTCAAAAATGCACAAGAAAAACAACAGTAAGTGAGAGATCGCATATTAAAAGGAAAAAGTTCGTTAATCAAATACAATATTTTTTTATTTTATTTACATGCAGTATAGTAATGGTGACTAAATTACTTAAATTAACAACAACCACAGACCTTTATGTTAAACTTCTCATGTTTTTCATGCATACGGTTTATGAGTTGTTTGTCCAGGACAGCATGGTTATAATAGCTTACAGATCGGTGTCGGCAACGATTATATTGGTGAAATGTTGGAGAAATATTCGGACGTTCACCGGCAGAATGTGACTGTGACGCGTCATGATCATTTTCAACAACACAACGATTCTCTGAATTATGTTTATCAACTGTCTTACTGTTGTTGCAACTAATACTATTATTATTTTTCGCATGCTTATTAGAACTGGTTGATTTTGGTGATGAATAAGAGCTATGAGTGAAAAGCGACTTCAAGCATAAATGATTGAACTCATGATGATCAGATTCAATGGATGAAGACATAATTTTTGGATGGGCATAAGGGGAGAGAGAGACTGATGAGCTTGTAGATAAATCACACTCTGTTTTCACATCCTCTTCTTCATCATTATCGTCAGTGTTATCACTTCCTATAATGATGGTATTATTATTATTACTATCTATTTCTGTATTTGAACACAAACTGTCAACACTATTATGACCATTTTCGTCCGGTAGAAGTTGAGATCTGTAGTAACTACTCAATTTGCTAGATGCAGAACACCATTCAGATCCATTATTTACATCGGCACTCTGAGTAATATAAGGTAGTTGATATCTATTACACATTGAAAACTCTCTACCCTTTGAAGTTAATTCAATTGTGGTTGTATTAGTTGACGTGGAAATATAATGCGGAATAGTAGATGATGTAACAGAACTAAATAATCTATCATTGTTGGTATTATGATCTTCCAAGTGATTCAACGCTTTTAAAATGGATTGAATAACAATTTTATTGGCTAAATATTGAGTATTACTAGCATTGTTGTCAGTAGTACAATAACTACTTCTAGAGACTAATGATGAAGTAGAGTGATGATCTACTTTGTTAGTATCTAATCTGTTATTATTGCTATCATCAACGTTAACGTTTGAAGATGTTAAGAATCCAGAAATCATAGATTGTGTCCATGACTGAGTCGAATCTGCTGTTCCTGCATTCGTCGATAAAGTTGGTGAGATGAACCAATTCCATTCAGTAGTCGAATTTGACCATATTGAATTCTCCAACACTTCGTAATTAACTAAATCTACTGCATTTTGGACGACTTCACGGACTACATGAAGAGGTAACTGGTTGACGTTATTGGTACTTATACACTTCTGGATCTCGTGGATCATATGACTTTGTTCACATTCAGATAATGTACACATATGGTAAGAATGATGACGATGGAAGTAGTGTTGATTAGTGTATTTTCCTAACTGATCAATATAACTTAAACTTTTACACTTATGGTGTGCAGAAGAAAGATTGGTTTCCAAAAGTAAAGGGTTCATATGATTAGGTGTTGGTGATCTCGGACAACAAGGAGATTCACTTTTTTGTTGCAAATGATCCAAACTATTTCCAGTAAACAACTGTTTATTTATGGAAAGCATACGATACTTATCATATTTATTATCACTATCAGTAATACTTCCACGCGAATTAAATACTGGATCGGATAAAGGCTTTTGTAAAGAAGGACATGAATAAATACTACGCATCATACTGCCACTAAAACTATCAAAGCATGCAGTTATTTCATGCCTAAACTAGATTGACCAAAATAAAACAATATATTATACACGTCAGTGTGTAAACAACAACCATAAACACCATTGCATATACCCACGAAGAATAGGCATCGGCGTACAATTTTATTATTCCAGGAGAGGTGGCGAACAGGAAAGGAAACAAATACAAAAAGTACAATCAATAATTAAATGGTACTTGTGCAAACTTTTCAGTTATCGGTACTTTAAAATTACAGTGATCATGTTCGCTATCATTTTACAATGATCGCAAATCAACTAGTTAAAGTTGAAAGGTCAAAGGTCAAACAAAGGCCTTACTTCAGTGTAAAAAACACTAGCAGAAAACATTAAATAGGAATAATATATTTATTATCAGAGGGGGTTTTGTGGAGATTTAGTATTTTTCATAGTTTTAAAGCATGAGTCAATTGAAGCTAGACCACCATGGAAAACCTGGAAGCACTGGACGGCCGTTTCGTCCTATTATGGGACTCCTCAGCAGTGCGCATCCACGAACCCGCTCGCGCGAGATTCGAACCCAGGACCAACCAGTTACGAGCCGAAGCCCTTAACCGATAGACCACTGAGCTGGCATCCAACGGTGTTAATGTCTAACTTGGATGCGCACTGCTGAGGAGTCCCATAATAGGACGAAACGGCCGTCCAGTGTTTCCAGGTTTTCCATGGTGGTCTAGCTTCAATTGACTCATGCTTTAAAACTATGAAAAATAATATATTTGTAAAATCTCAGCGAATGAATTTTTTCTTACTACTTGTTTTATGACTTGCCAAATATAAAAAAATGAAACTTAGTAAACCATTTGCAGAGGTATGTAAGTATATATATATATATATATATATATATATCATTCCAGAAAAGCACGGCGCACGAGCGTTGTTGACACAAGCCCATTTTTAAACATAAGAAATCTCACATTCACCCAGTCGAATACGCAAAAAAGCATACAACTCCCTCCAAACCACTATTGCATTGCTCTGTATCTACGATAGACTGAATGCATGTGAAATATTAGGGTATAATACGATATAACCTACTTTAAAAGTTGATTTGCAAATAGATCAATGAATCATACCACGTAGTGTCCTGGTCCTAAACAATTTCTGTTATCAGTTAAAATTAACTCTTCAAATTAATCACATCAATTCAAAGTGTTCACCAAATAGTCCTAGTAACTCAGTTGTCAGTCATACTGCTTACATGACAGTTAATGATGAAACCAGGCTACTCAAACCGCAGTGATTGGGACATAATTCGGACATAAATGAAAGTCAACTATTTCAATCATAAAGCCACGGTTTCATGAAGATTATCACAACCTTCAATATCGTGTATGTATGATACGAATATATAAAAAGTGTACCTACTGAAAAGGATAAGGAACTAAAAATAACATTGGTAAAATTGAAAGCATAGTCAGGCGAGTTGTGAAGACTTACATCACAAATGCAACGGTTCAGTTACATTCACACAATCTATCTTCCCATAAATCGTTAATTTTTCTTTCTTGATTTACGTAATGATTTCTCCTTACCGATGAACTTAAAGTGTTAGTGCTTTTTTGTAATATTTAATTTTCACATGTAAACCCTTCTGAAACAAACTAAAATCTATCCCAGTAATATGCCGAGCACAATAACACCGATTTTTGACAAGAGAGATAATAGTAATAATGAACAGTATATTATTTGAACGTTAAAATAAATCTTCGACATCAGCAAAAGAATTAGGAAAAAGGTAAGATAAACTGAGCAATATGAAATCATTAAAAAAACTGAATTTCACTGGGTAGCTACAAAAAATGAACGACGAAGCAAGAGGAAGTTGAATCTTTGAAGGTAGAAGGAGCATGAGTGACAAATATGGAAAATAACGAAGCATTCAAGATTTAAAGGGGGAAATTTAGAAGTGTTATTGACCTATTGTAATAAAAAACTAAAAGCCTTAAGTAAAGCAGATTAAGAACTATCAGACTTCGTTTAAAGTTTTAGTTTAAGTAATGCCGCCAGAAGATTGTTTATCTCAGCCAACATGATAGCACCAAGTGATAGAGTAGCGTCTTGTCATGCGAAATTTCGGCCGTAAAAAAAGTTATTTTCCGATACAATTCCATGAGCTAATCGAAAAACTTGGTTATCTTACATGTAATCTTAAGACTTTTCGTTCAGCATAGCCTTATCACATACAGGAGCAATTATAATTTGGGTATTAAACAGAGCTTACATAACATAAACAATCCAAGATATGAGCACAAAGAACCTAAAAACACCATGTTATAATACTTACCATAATCGTATTATTATCATCATTATCGATAGTGCTGTCACCAATGTTTACGTGTAGCGGATATGCTAGATCAGACTTAACACTGATCTTTTTCATTTCACCAGTATCTGGAAACATTCCAATAACAGAAGGTCTAGAAGAGACAACAGGGTATGGCAGTAATAATTGTTGCTGGGTTTTTTCGTGAATTTCATCTGTTTCGTTTGATTCTAACTGCATTTTTGCAATGCCAATTAAACACGGTCCATTAGGAAGGGACTTTAGTGTATTAGCGGCCTCAAATACACTAGATTTCATTAAATTTTTATCATTAACAAATAAAAGCCTGTCACCGATTGATATACGTCCATCCAACTGTGCAATACCACCTGGAGTTAAACTGTCAACTAATAAGATACCGTGTGCTTTGGATCGACTAGACCACGTGGATCTTCGTTTTAATCCATTGGAAGATTTGGAATTTTTACCAGGTAACGATGATAATGATGTAATGGTCGAACCGGTAGAATAAGAGGAATGAAATGATCGACGATCAGATTCAATCATATTAGAACTCTTTCTATCAAGTGAATAAGCTTTACGGAGTGTATTGCCTTCTAAGTCAGTAACAGGTAGTTCCTAAAAAGAAGTCCATATCAGAAACAAAAATAAGTGTTATTCTTGGATAAAAAACAATACTATTAGAAGTGAACCGAAGAATTAGTAACAATAAAATAACTCATTTACATAAACACACAAAAGTAAATACCATAATGGTACAACATAAAGGTATAAATAAACATTTATTTCTGTTATGACCTTTACCGTAAATTCACCTGAAAATCCTTTACAATTATTGCTGATTAGAAGCAAGATTGTGAGAGGTTCAGTAAAGGGTTAGAAACACCATCTTGCAAAAAAACTTGTCAACAGAAGTGAAGCAACCAAACCATCAAAACTCTTCTGTCGAAGTTCAAAGGTCTTCATGTAGAATAGTTCTAACGCATCATGATAAAAGTTGAGATTCACCAGAAGCCACGGGACATATATAGCTTCTGACAGCCAGAGCAACATTAAACATGCGGACACAGAATATTAGAGTAGTATGGGTGACTTATAAGGTCATTCAAATAGCCACATAAATGAGATGCAGCTAGCCTCTCCTTCGAATAAGCGATCATCAAACACGATTTGAACAAAAGCGACTAACTTCAGGAAAGAGCGAAAAGCACTTATACGATAGGAATATCATGGACCCAAGAACATCAGAGCGTCTTTCAAAATAAAGAAAATTCAATGAAATTCACCCAGTATTGTGAGCCCATCAATATTAGCGACGAAAATGACGAATATCGGTTTTGTGAGGGGTTGTAGTCGATGGCATAAAATGACATGAACATCAGTATATGAGACTTGGAATGGACAACACCGTTTATGCAAATATCATGGAACTGATAAAGTCTTCTAATTGAACGGCAGATTCGGTTCCCAAGCTCTTCTAGTAACCCTAAGGCTAAATCTACACAGCAACTTGAACACGAGAGAAACATGGAAGAAACGCTTTACTTCAAAGGTTCGTTTATGTACAGATTATCTGGGGTTCTTATAGTATTTTAGATGCTCTTCGGTCTCCGGAAAATTCTGAAACGCTACTAAACATGGTAACAGTATAGGTAATCATCGAATCTGAAACTAATGTGACTTTTCACTTTCTAGGTGTTTCTGGCAAAACCTTTAGTGAATCCTGATTTGATAAGATGCTTCGAAATGTTTACAGGAACTTTTTTGGTGTTTTTCGAGGAGTTTTCTGGATCTCATCACATTCCTCTACGTGACCGGAGTACAGCAGCACTTTTCCCGTACCTAACCTTTGCTGTTCAGCTTTGGTCCAATGTGTTTCACTTATTCTGAGCACCACCAAGTTGTATCTCCTCATTTCCGCAGCTATTTAACCTGTTCTTTCGGTCTCCCACATTTACCTACAAATACTGTTGCTCTGGTTGTTAGAAGGGGCATCGGCCTCATGACTTCCGAAAAATCTCGGCTTTCATCTTGAGGCGTCATAATTCTTCTTTCAAGTGTTAGGGCAGAATTGAAATGGTTTAAATTGTTTAATCTGATTGGGGTTTTTTAACAAGGTTGTTTTCTATGGGATGGGGTTGCCGACCCGATGCCCGACCCTTCTCTTTTACCCAGGCTTGGGATCGACAGTACCCCTAGAAGAGGTATAGGTGGAGTTGAGAACTACCACCATCACTAAAATAATAGAATTTTTGAAACAACTGTATGGACAAGATACTTCATATCCGTTGGCCGTACACCATGTGCAACAGGTTAGTGTGACAGAACAAACCAACTCCCAGATGAAGAGAAAATTAGGAATGCTAGTTCCTGGCGGGCAGCTTATGCCGCAATAGTGGTAACAGGCTTAATTAAACAACCAAGACCTTTATCATCAATTTTCAGTAATCACTATATATGCATATTTCCGTTTAACAAAACTCACCTCATATTCAGCTATACTAAATCCAAAACCATGAGATGTTTTATTCAGTTGAATAATTAAAGGCACTGAAGACCAACATGGTCGTTTAAAGCCGTAACGAGGATCAATACGATTTGGTCGATTATGATGATAATGTGGTAGAGTTTGACAACGGTGATGATTGTGTTGTTCAGTAGATGATTGATTTCCTATACACACTTTACTACATCTTGATATTGGCAAACGCCCTAGAGTCCTAGAAGGGATTTGTATTTCTGACGGCTGTACTGTACTTGGTAATGAATATTTACGATCGTTTTTCATTGTATTTACTAGATACTGTTGTTGCAATTTACTAGTGTAATTCGGATTTATATAGTTATGGAGGGGGTGAATTTTGTACGATTGTGCATGCTAGAAGATCAATGAATAAAAGAAAGTGTGAAATAATTACTATAATTTACGAAATGTAGGCATAGATATACGTATCACTCTAATTGAAAGAAAGATACGAAACACATACACCTAATTAACAAAACACACATGAATGAAATTCAAACAATTTTAATCCAACGGATTTTTTCAGCTTTGGATATACAGATTCATATTGAAAGACATCATTAATAATATTCTTTATGCACAAAGAGAAGTCTCGCTATTCATCTCAGAAGAATAAAGTTTATCTGGTTTTCTGGTATTTCATAGGCACCCGCTACGTTTTGCCACAAAACTAGGCATTAGACTTCAAAATATACTTGTATTATCTGTGTGAGAGAGTTGATAGTAAGACCTAATTGTATAGAACGCTTTAAAATTCCTACTACAAGACCAGGTCATTTGAAAAGATGTGCAATACAACACTTAGTTTTAACATTTACTGGGTGCTGTCACAACAGATTTTTGTGATAGGGTTTAAATCAACAGACTTTCTACACACAAATGACTTGAGTTAAAGGAAAAGAATGAACTAATATTGAAAATAACCAATGAACGATGAATAATTCTGACTGTCAATACCTTCGATTCAACGATATGTGACTATCTTGCCAATAACAACAAAGTTATTAAACAAAAATGAATAGAAGCACAGGAAATCATTTACCAGAATCAATGTTAATAGAATAACAATAAAAGGTCTTATTAAAGTAAATGAATGTAAATTCAAACAACCAAACAGAAACAGTTGAGACTGAATATTGTGATCAAAGCATATACTTTAATTAGAAGCCAGAAAAACTTTTTTCAAAAGACTAAATAAGTTAAGTATGTATAACCGACAAGTTACAAGTAGTCACAGTTTGTACGCAACGACTAATGATACGATTGTTTTCTCATCCAAACCGACAACGGTCAAGAAGGATTCAAAACTGTAACAACTTATGATAATCCTTACAACACTGATTTGTGAAGTTGTGTATTTCTAAAAGCGTATGGTGAATAAATAATATATTTGTATATGGTGCATATGGTGAAGTTCACCAAACCTTAGATAACAGATGTTGGTAAGCGAACAACGGAACGTAAACCATATTATTATCATGGGCATATGGTTAATCAGTGGAAACACAATGCATACTAACTCCATATCTGAAATTTCTATCACATACTGGGTTAACTGTTTTCTCATATTAAAATGTTTTAGCAAAAGGAGTAGTTACAGTCGTTATATCACTGATAAATTTCAGTAGTATACATATAGACAAGTTAAAAATCCCCATCCACATTGTTAAAAAGCACCATGAAAACATTCAGTAAAATTAAGTAACTACATCCAATCAATTTAAGAATAACGGAATATAGAGATTCGTTGACAAAATTTTGCTAGAAACATTTTCTTCTGAATATCGGAATGTCTAGTGTTTCGCAGTTTAAACAGCAAAATATTGTCGATTGCAAGTATTCAGCTCCAAAACCGATTAGATAACCAGATTTCGAGGCACTCCAATGTGTAGTTTTTGAACAGCTAAATATTCTCAAACATCAATCGAAAAACCAGCAGAAATACACTGTATGAAAGCATGAAACTGCAGTAATAATAAGATTCAACTGACATTAAAAGCAATCTCACTTACAAGAAAGGAAAAGCTAATCAAGATTAAGAATTAGTGACTATATATATATATATTTGATACATCGATTCAAATGTAATCGTCTCTTGTTTCTACGAAAAACAGAAAAGGGGGAATATATAGAAACTGCTGTTATATTTCTTTTTGAAATCGTTAAAAAAAGAGCTTCACAGTAAGTTGTATGGTATTTAGAAATGTGTGGAAATACACAATATGGATAACATTTATGGAAAGTTAATTGAAACAAATCTTAAAAAGTAAAATGAGTTGCAATAATTGCAGTTAGAAAATAGTTGATCCTAAAGTATGACCAGATAGCCATAACAGCTAATAAACCTATACAGCTATGACGAAATGCATATTTTCTTCTAATTACAATTTGCTCTTTAGAATATCAAACATTATTTCAGTAATTGTACTGTAAATAAGTACTTACTTTTAAATCACAACTAAATCTTTCTGATTTATTATTAGTTTGCATAGTTACAGAAGATTCAGGTGAAGATGGACAGTGAATAGTCGCGCTTAAATCTCCTTGAGATTTTCGAATCCATTCAGTGATACGTTTATGAGCCGTAGCAGGTGATACTGGACTGGAATAATTTGACCGATCAACTTTATCGTAAGCATCCACCATTCTCACAGATGAGCCAGTATCTACGGAACCGATTTCACTAGCAGCAACTTCAAGTAGTGATTCCCCTACGACATCAGTCAACTGATCCTTACCGCCCGTAATACTAAACACGTCATCATCTCCATTCTCATATGTAGACTTTCTACGGGCAAAGACTAATTCAATGCGTGATGGTAAATTGCGTAAATAACGAAGAGTACTAGTATGCGTTGTACCATGTATACGATGACCATTAGCCTGAAAAGTATGCGAAAATCAGAAACATTAAGCACCATCATTACCAGTAAAAAAATGTCTGAAGACGATGGAGTAAAACACAGAAATAGTGATCAACGGAATATTTGACATGAATAGGCAACCCATATAAAAAATCCGAACCCCATTAAAAATAACCATAAGACAATAAAAATCATAAATTTTGCCATGTTAAAACTGTAAATTATCATTCACTATCAGACATTGTTTCCTCACCCTACATTTACTAAACATTACGACCAAAGATATTACCAATGTCGCACGATCTTTGAATGAATTCAAAAAATAAACGAATAAACTATATGGAGTTTTAGTGAGAAGTCGTGACCAGTGGAGTCCAATTTATCTCGGGTGTGAGATGGATATTCACCTCAGGCAATGGATGAAGGGTTACGCAAGATGGATTGATTAATGTTGGACATTAACAACGTCGGATGCTGGTACAGTGGTCTAGAGGCCAACTATTTGAGCACGAGATCGAAGGTCCTGGGTTCGAGCCCCAAGTGCTGGATTGTGAATGCCGCTGCTGACGAGTCCTATGCTAGGAAGAAACGACCGTTCAGTGCTTTTAGGTTTTCAGTGGTGGTCTAGCTCAGATCGCCTCAAGACTTTAACTGGGAAAATACTATGATCGCCGTAAATCCTTATAGTGATAAACTAAATGAATCAATAGTCACTGATAAACGAATCATGTAGCCGAAGTGGATAACACACATATCACCAATACAAAATAAAAAAATGTTTTGTAAATTAACAAATCTGTTTGATATATTAAGAATGAACTAGTGAAATGAAACTAAACGCTTATCTTAATTGCGCAGATACGGTGTATGATTTTCAACATACAGACGAGAAATGACGCCGATCGAATACATACATCCAGCTGACAAATTCCGAAAAGGATGAAATATGAGTCCCGGAAGCTAAAGAACAAAAGACTAATTATGAGCAACAGGATGAAACTATACAATTCTTCAGGCCTTCTACAAGTTAATGACACGACATCACTGACTACCCAATATTCCCAAACTCGGTATGCAAAAGTCAACCGTAATTTTTTCCCTAGAAAATAGGTATATTCTTACCTGAAGTAACTCATCGCCCTTTTGCACAACACCCAAACTACCGATCAGACCATCAGGTACAATATATTGAACGAAATGGCGTGAAGGTATATCACTATACTTGATATCATTTGAATGGGCAGATTTTGCCATACCATTTGGTAACAGTTTACTACTTGGATTAGATTTATCTTCAATTTGACTATTAGTTGTAACCAATGTAGATGGTAAATTTCCATGATCGAAATCTGGTTCTGCCACATAGGTCACACCTTCTATGCTGATGCCCAAATTTGATGTTCCTCGAGATTTATGAATATGTAAAACCTAATATAAATGAACGTAGATGAGAACAAATCATTGAGATTTATGTATCGTATACCTACTAATTTTTCAAATGGCGTTTGATCTCGTTCCTTACACATACCAGGAGCCATAAGGAATCAAGCACACAACCCAAGCCTTTATATTCACCACAAATTTGTAACAGCTTAATCTCTTTCGCGGTCAAAAGAGCCTTAACAGATAATTTTATTAATGATTATTTCCCGAACACTTTGGCAGTAAAGTTTTCATGCAAGATGGATCTCTGTTGATACCCCAGGGTACGATTCAAGAAACAAAGGAAATGGTAATTAATCACAACCAAAAAAACAAAGAAAACTGATGCACAATCCGAACACAGAAGCAAACGAGAGAGTGAAAAAGGCGCGTTATCACCATCGTACGGAATTCTTACGACAGACTACACTACAATGTCGTTCATCGAGGTCATCTCACAGATGCAATCTAAATGATTAGTATCAAACCTAAACATGTTCAATCACTCTTAGTACTATCTACATTTTAATTACTTGTCAAAAAATTTTTATTTTTAAGACGTTGAGCTTCTGTGGGTTATATATAAAGGTATTCACGTATTGGGAATCAGTCAGTCAGTCAGCTACAACGTAGAACCAGGCACATTTATGCATTGGTCCAAGTTGCCATATCTCATTAGCACAAGATGAACACCGGATTCATAGAAATAGTTAATTTAGTGGTAGTAGTATATAAAAGATAGGTTGTATATAAGGATATAGTATAGGAAGAAAGAACGTTATGAAGCAATTTTGATCTTAAAGTTTAAGGGAAGATAAAGAGTGTATACACGGACGCCATTGTGATCGATTCTGAGCCATGTCATCTAGAGTCTCCAACCATTGGTTACGATAGTCACGAGGACCCCAACCAGGTAGTCTGCATCTTTACGTTTAATAAATAGATGAAATTATTTTAAAAATGATTTATGACTGGATTAATAAACAACTATGATGTACACCACATGTCACTGAAGTGTTTAAATAACTTAAAACTGCAAAGCATAAAATAGATTGTAATAAATTCACGAGCTGTAATTTTTAAGATTTAAAATACTATAAACATTCGCGTCGTCATTTTGTAATCACATTGAAAAAATTAGGATAGTGGTTTCATCTTACTGCCTACTTCCTAAACATTTGCTATTAACAATATGTAAGATAAATATGAACGTACAAAGGAACACCTTTTCAAGAAAGACCAAGGAACACATTGTGGAAGGGATGGGAAGTAGATATCAAGAGAATAAATAACAATTGGAAAGAAGATAGAGGAGAGCACACGACAATGTTGGTTGGAAGTTCCTGGCCGGCGGTTTATGCCTCAATATGAATAACAGGCGCAAATAAGTAAATAAATGGTGGTACATTTTACCCCAATTCCTTTTCCCAATACACGCTTCACTTTAAACATTTCCTATTAAGTAATTTTAATTATTTTTAGTCAATGTTATTTTGGTGTCTATTTTTTAAAGTCAACCTACTTCCTAAGATGAAAATGATAAGTTTCGCTAAATGAACAGTCGATTCGATTCGCTAGCCTCTTCTAATAATCCTAGACTGAATCTACACGACAACTTGAACACGAGATAAAAGGCGTGGAGTGGAAAACCAAACTGGTGAAAAGGATCTATTTGACCCCCAAAATGAAACAAATTGATTTAAGAATACACCACATTTTATATGATTTATTTACAGTTGCTTTGTGAACTGGACTTTGAGTTAATACTTAGGGTGTCTTCTTTTTGGTATGACTGTTTACGTCCAGTAGAACGCCTGAAAATGCGTCCGTGCACTAGGGTACGGTCGGAGTCCAAGCATGCGCTTCAGAAGTTGCTGTCTTCTATTGATCTGCTTAAACGATAGCTGATAGGGATATAGACTATTTGTATTTATCGTTGTATTTAAGTTTAGGTCACTAAGTTAAGACATTATCTCTCCTTTTGTTTAAAGCTCGTAATTGCAAGAATTTTCTGGTTAGCGTTTTTTTAGCGAGTTAGCTTTTCTACGGGATGGGGTCGCTAACCCCATGCCCAACCCTCCTCCTTTACCCGGGCTTGGGACCGGCAGTAACTCTAGAAGAGCTACAGGCGGGAGAGACTTGCAAACCTATGTGCTTTCAACAAATTGGTTATAGGCGGCACAATATTCCCACACAAACGCATACACACAGCTACATGGATCTCACCGGACCACACCACAGAGAACCAGATTGATCACATCTGTATCAACAAAAAATTCCGAAGATCAATGGAAGATGTGAGAACCCGGAGAGGAGCTGACATAGCTTCAGATCACCACCTGGTTGTGGCCAAGATGAGACTGAAGCTAAAGAAACACTGGACAACTGGACACACAGCACTACAAAGGTTCAATACAGCCTTCCTTCGAGATACTGACAAGCTCAACGAATTCAAGATAACTCTCAACAACAGGTTCCAAGCTCTACAGGATCTACTGAAAGAACAAGAAACTACTTTGGAGGACAACTGGAAAGGGATAAAAGAAGCACTAACTTCAACGTGTCAGGAGGTTCTTGGTCCTAAGAAGCACCATCACAAGGAATGGATCTCTATGGGGACCCTGGACAAACTTCAAGAAAGGAAGAACAAGAAACTAGCAATTAACAACAGCCGAACACGAGCAGAGAAAGTCAAAGCACAAGCAGACTACGCAGAAGCAAACAGAGAAGTGAAGAAAAGTATTAAAGCCGACAAGCAGAAATACATGGGAGAACTAGCAACGGCGGCGGAAAAAGCTGCAAGAGAAGGGAATATGATACAACTATATGATACAACGAAGAAATTGGCAGGGAGATATAGCAAACCAGAGAGACCAGTCAAAGACAAAGAAGGAAAGACAATCACTGAGATTCAGGAACAGAGGAAAAGATGGGCAGAATACTTTGAGGAACTGCTGAATAGACCAGCCCCATCGAATCCACCGAACATCGAAGCAGCCCACACAGACCTTCCAATAGATGTCACTCCACCAACGATCGAAGAAGTCAAGATGGCCATCAGACAAATCAAAAGTGGGAAGGCGGCAGGACCTGACAATATACCAGCAGAAGCACTGAAGTCAGACATTGAAATAACTGCAAACATGCTCCACCTTCTATTCAAAAAGATTTGGGAAGAGGAACAAGTGCCAACGGACTGGAAAGAAGGATATCTCATCAAGATACCAAAGAAAGGAGATCTGAGCCAATGTGAGAACTACGGAGGTATCAGTTTGTTATCAGTACCAGGAAAAGTTTTCAACAGAGTGCTGCTGAATCGGATGAAAGACGCAGTAGACGCCGAACTTAGGGATCAACAAGCTGGATTCCGTAAGGATAGGTCGTGCACAGACCAGATTGCGACACTACGGATCATCGTTGAACAATCAGTTGAGTGGAACTCATCACTATACGTCAACTTCATCGACTATGAGAAGGTGTTTGACAGCGTGGATAGGAGAACATTGTGGAAACTTCTTCGACACTATGGAGTTCCTCAGAAGATCGTCAACATTATCCAAAACTCATACGATGGATTACAGTGCAAAGTGGTGCATGGAGGACAGCTGACAGGTGCATTTCCAGTAAGGACCGGAGTCAGACAAGGCTGTCTACTCTCCCCATTTCTCTTCCTTCTAGTGATTGACTGGATTATGAAGAATTCGACATCTGAAGGGAAATACGGAATACAATGGACTTCTCAGAATCAATTAGATGATTTGGACTTCGCAGATGACCTAGCCCTCCTCTCTCATACACACGACCAAATGCAGATGAAGACAGCAAATGTAGCAGCAGCCTCCGCATCGATAGGCCTCCACATTCACAAAGGAAAAAGCAAGATTCTCAAATGCAACACGGAGAACACCGACCCAATCACACTTGATGGCGAAACTCTGGAAGAGGTGGAAACATTCAAGTACCTGGGGAGCATCGTTGATAAACAAGGAGGATGGGATGCAGATGTAAAGACAAGGATTGGCAAAGCAAGGGCAGCATTTCTACAATTGCAGAACATATGGAACTCAAAACAACTCTCAACCAATTTCAAGGTCAGAATCTTTAATACGAACGTCAAGACAGTCCTACTGTATGGAGCTGAAACGTGGAGAACTACTACGGCCATCATCAGGAAGGTACAAGTATTTATAAACAGTTGTCTACGCAAAATACTCAACATCCATTGGCCGGATACTATCAGCAACAGCGTTTTATGGGAGAGGACAAACCAGCTTCCAGCTGAAGAGGAAATAAGGAAAAGACGTTGGAAGTGGATCGGACATACATTAAGGAAATCACCAATGTGCATCACGACTCAATCCCTAACTTGGAATCCGGAAGGGAAGCGGAAAAGAGGAAAGCCAAAGAACACACTACGCCGGGAAATAGAAGCCGATATGAAAAGGATGAATAGCAACTGGAAAGAACTGGAAAGGAAGGCTCAGGACAGAGTTGGATGGAGAATGCTGGTGAGCGGCCTATGCTCCTCGACGAGGGGTAACAGGCGTAAGTAAGTAAGTTGCAAGAATTAATCAGTTATCTGAGTAAAATTGCAGTTCAGGGTCACTGTTATCTGTTCTTTAGGCTGGGATGCCAAAAGACCCACCTAAATGTTCTACAATTCGACTTCGCTTACAGAGTCGGGTATTAAAATGCAACTGTAAAATATTTAACAATCAAAAAGATAGACTTGAAAAAAAATTCATACGTTATGGAAATACTCACTATGATGTCATAACCAGGACCAACAATCGGTAGCCAAACTTTACGCATGAGATCAACCAATTCATTTGTAACTTCATTTGCTAATTCCCAGAAACGTGAGAAAAATATCACAAAAACTTACAGTATTATATCAAATTACGTAACTAAAAGATCTAATCTCACTGCAAAAGCACGATAAGATATTGCATATGAATTAATATATTCAGGTTAAAATAAATAATACCATCAAAAGTATCTGCGACAAATATTGGCATTGAGATTATTCAACTGTATAGTGCGGCAATCAAAGGCCGATGTTATTTTATGTTCTTTTACAATACCCAATTACTACTGTTAAGAAATTTGGTTTGCTGATAACGCTTCCGATCAACAATTACTCAAGAAACAAAAAAATCCGATGAATTATTCCAGCTTACGTATTCAGAAACCCTATTTATCATCTATAAGTATCAAGTGATTGTGCTGCACCAAAATTCCTGCTGTCAGCAATCGGGATAGAAGATAAAAATATACAGAAGAAATTAAACGTGCATGAAAACGTAGAATGTTGGTTTTGGAACTTTCAAGGATTAGAGGATACATGATTTATACCTATTCACCAACGGACTGAAGCTCAGATAACCAGATAACAGAATGCACTGAGACATCAGTGAATTCTTTTAGGAAAGAACGGAGATCTAGGGGTCAAGTCATTCTTCTAAACATTACTTAGCAGGTCCAAACAGTGCAATACCCTTGGTTTCATTGGCTGCGATGAACCACTATTACACAAAAACATGTCGCTCAAAGTAGAATGGAAAAACATTTATTTGCTTAAACGCACAAACATTGGTAAAAGAAAGCACCAAATATGTATACGCCACACAAATCATTCGACATGTGTGAAGGCTGGAATGCTGCCCGGGAGCCCAAACCGAAGCAAATGAACGAGCATGTGTTTGGTAGGTCAGCGACATCCGTTTTTTGTGGTGGCCTACCGTTTTTGAAGCGAAGTTTGCGAACACAGGCGATCGAGAACAGTTTAGATATGAACCAATCTGCAGAATGGATCGATTACGAGCAGCAACCTATAGAAATGAGAAAGTATCAAGGCTAGGCAATAGCTGTCCCCTTTTCCGATCTAATAAGATATTCGATAGACACGGTAGTGGCGAGACCGAAACTTTTGGACGACCTTAAACAGTACTAGAGTTGGATTGTAAGAGTGCAGATTCGCAAGTGAGGTTATCAGTGTGAGGCATCAAGATCAGAAATAACGGCTAAGAGCTACAGTTTCCATTCACAAACTGACATCAGCGAGACAGCTGAAACTTTACATATTTATATGGATTGATGCATTCCATGCAAAACATCTTAGTCTCCATCTGCTATATAATTTGTTAGCTAATCAATCATAATCCCGCCACTTGTTTGCAAAATACACAGATATGCTTGAAACACGCAAGCTGTCCTGCCTACATTCCCGGTTCTCCTTGGTTTAAGCATAGTTATTTTGTCAATGCAGTTTCTATGCAATGACACAACAAAACAGACGTATTCCTTTCGTACGCTTCATAAATAAACACACTTCCACGTCTTTAACAGTGGATTTGCAAGTATGTCTCTTTTACAATGACACATTCAGTTCCCTTTAAGCTTTATTATTACTGGGTTGAGTGATTTTATTTAGCTTGACCTACAAACCTATTGATAAACACAGTATGTACATGTATAGTGTATACCAATATTAAAATTGGTATACTTGAAAAATGAATCAGATAAAGTAAACACATGACACAATTCCTAGATTTAAGTGAAGAATATACATCATTATTCAGAATATCTCACCATAAAAATCAGAAGATCGATCACGAAGCGTGTTTCGAGTGTGAGAATTAGTAAAGCTTATAATGTTACTTATGTAGCGGCGAAGTCTTTTCTTGATGTGCATATCTGATTTCTAGGTAAAACGAACTTTGAGGTTTGCGTATACTATAGGTTATAACGACAGAAAGCATGAAATACAGGACGTAAAATATGCATCGAAGGGTACGAAGACAAAGAAGGCGCGTAAGGCCTAATTTCAAGGCACCCGCAAAGTTTCAGCTCTATGATCAAATTTCAATGACTCAATTAAGATCAGCCAACTGAATTCATTAAATCATATGCAAGCTTTGAAAATCATATTTTATATGATGTTCTCAGTTCTTTGTGTTATGAGTATTCAATATTTAAATTAAGTACTTAAAATGAAAAATAAAGGAGTAGCTTTAGTTAGCTCAAAATTCATTGCTCCAGCAGATTAAATAATAGTTCTTCGAAAAAAGAGTCGAGTGACAGGTTGTAAAACCTGTAACCAATAGGATTTTGTTCGCACTTGGCTTTAGCTCATCTGATATCTTTCGTGAGTTATTCTGTCCTAATAAGTCATACCACAAATCTGAGGTTGCTCACTGTAAATAGATTTGACTTTTCTAGCCTCTTTGTACATAATAAATCTTGGAGTTCCAAGGTCACATCTGTAACACTTTCTCTATACCCTTTCCAGGATATCAAAGCTACCATTTAAATGGGACCTATGATGTGGACGCAGACTTTTATTTTGTATCTCCCCAGGGCTGTGTTTGTATCTAGTTTAGTGACCGTCCAACCTAACATCAGTTAGGTTCTGACTACTCCGGCCTTACACGAAAAGCAGTTATCTGCGGTTTTAAGTAAATGAACTTTGATTGCCCCAATACTGTTGTGAGACAAAACTAAAGTAACTGAAGCCTCCAATGCAATGAAATTATTGACACTACCGGTCAAATTAAACATTTTGTCAAGCTCATCAAACATGTCATTTTGCCTGTCAGAGGTTTTCACTCTACGCCACCTTTGGGCGTCATTAGTATAAGTTATCATTAGGGACTTTGTGATATGTGGGGATTCGTTCAAATGAAGTACAATAAGTAAAGCACCAACAAATGTGTGCTAAGTGTAGTCTACTAAGTGCTGATTTCTGGAAGAATCAGCTGATTCCTACTTCTTACTTGTCGTCATAAAACTCCGTCCACCCCGATTTTGATATGATGAGGTTTGTCTCATGCAATAATCTTTTCCTAAGGCAATAGTGTTCATTATTTAACAAGATATTAGTTTCCTTTGAGGGGGGCATATTATTATCTCTGGTCATTCTATCCAGTATTTCAAATGAAATACTTGTCGGGTTGATAGGTATGTGGTCTGAGGGATGATATATTGACCCTAGCTTGCGAATCGGATTGATAACTGACTCTTGACAGTACTGAGTAAACTCATTATCGATGAAAGACACGAAATATTTTAGTCAGATGGGCAGCCTTGTGTTATGTATTTCTTTGGTATGGCTTGTCCAACCATGTCATTTTTTTAATGTATAAAGACTTCTATTTCTTTACTGCGTAGTGACCTACTTATATGACGAGAACGCGGTTGGTATAATGGAAACAATTGTTATTATAACCGAATGTACCAGCGATTGTTTTGCTGTACTTGTCTATTTGACTATACCATAAAGACTTTTCCTTCCGTTGCCTGTGACCTTGCACGAACTTGCTTAAGATCGGCAGTTCCCCCCGTAAACTTTGTCACGTCTCGTTATGCTTTCACGAGATCGCCAACAAATATATCTTATTGAGACCATCAACAGTCTTCTGGTTTTTGGCCTACCGAGAGATCGACGTCGATAACTGGCACGTAATCTTCATGTAATGGTGATCATAGTCAATCGCTTACAGTTAATCAATTTCTTTCAGGAAAAACTACTTCACTTCTTTATGAACTACCATTAAATCATGTAAAGTGTATTAGTTTTGGAAGCCGTTAAAGAGCGAAATTTCATAAAATGACTCGTCAGAATGACCAAAAGGTAAAAGAATTCATCCTTGAATTGAAAAAACAAGCTTCCACATGCCATTTTGGCGATCGACTTCATATACAGCAGTGAAATCGACTGACTGCAGTAAACAGCATACCAGATATGGAGAGAGAGCTCATACAGCTAACGAAGTGTTCCTTCGAGATACTGGAGCGGTGTGTATTCATCACATAGCAGTGAATGAAAAGGACATCCAGAACATTCAGAATTCTACTACACTACATAGTTATCCCAATCCAATGCGTACTCAAAGTCATGCAGGTAACAGTTCATTAAGAAGTTGCAAAGCAGGGTAGAGAGGTGAACATAGGACTATTAAGCGCTCATCCTATGATAAAATTGGACACATCAGAACAGTCTATAGAGCTACTGTCTTTTTGCAACTGATGCAACTCTGATAGATACAGATTTTTTCAAATGAACTATTATCCTCTAATCCGATTCCTAATAAATCTGACAAAAATATTACAGAAGTATAAAATCCTAATGATGTCATATCAAACGTTACTTGTCCTCACAATGTATTTGCTTCTGGTTGAAAAAAATTGGTTGATCCAAAGCACAAGTTCAAAATGAATTCAAATCTAATTACAGTTCGTATGACCTCACATCAGATGTTGTTTATTCTCACCATGAAGTCACTTTTATTGGATCCTCTAGTCAATCTGAGTAATATGGTTCAAATAGAGCAACATTATTTGCACCTTGATAACATGACGAACCAACATTATTTCGTGGGGAGGATAGTGTTAGAAAATCTATCGTTTAAATACTAGATATCAATGATTCAAATACATGAAACCGACATGCTGGTCAGATACAATTCCAGGAACCGAGTGAGACTGTTCCTTTCCCATTGTTAATTCCAATACTAATGAGCCCATTCTAGGTCATGCTGAGTTTACATCCAATATACAGTCGGATAGACACATGGTGAGCCTAAAAAGAAAATTCGATTACAGAAATCTAGATTCCAGTTTAATATGTGACGGATGTGGCAAATGTACGAACTGATGATTCCTGTGTACTTGACTACCTTCTTATTACAAAGTCCAAATACAGAACATCCCTTTGTCGTCACCCAGTTCCATTAGAAACTAACTATAAAATGTACAGAATTCACAATTCTTACAACAATTCACGTACAACTAAGCATAATCCTATGAAATACATACAGAAAAATCGATTACAACGAGAAAGTTTCCGAAACTATATTTCCACGACTTTATGGATATATACATGATTACATATTTATCAAGTATTTTGGTTTCATTACATTCTGGTCACCTTAAATATAACATTTTATTTGAAGCGTGAATTATTGTTATAGCATTTTCCACTCATAACCTAGAACTGATTATTTGTGTTTCCAGTATTCCATTATCCCATGATTAATGTTATTGTTCCGTGTTAGTACTGTTACCCAATTGGTTTGTTCCGTGACCTGATCTTATGTGTATATAAATGAATGTCTGAAATATAATAACGATCTTGGGCTGGTGCACTCTGGTCACGTGTTCTTCCTCATCATTCTGGCCTAGTTAGTATTGAGCCGACCTTCAGGAATAGTGTATCAGTGTTCCTCGAACTTGCAGCGTGTTGGTTGTTTGGGGTTATCTACGCGTATTCTTGGCTTGTGTGACATAACCTGTTATAAGTCGTAAATGCATTTAAATAGTGCACGAAATCCAGGTGGGTTTTTTCTTATAAGATGTATGATTTACTAGGTGGAAAATTCTCTCCGAAATGAATAGGTGTTTTGTAATTGACAATCAAACTGCGTACTATTTGAACTTCCAGAATCATAAAAAATGAAATAGTCGACTTCAATAGACATTGATCTATTAAGAAATGTGATCACTGGAAAGTTGCACTTTATTTCTGAGCTCAAACTACAACTAAAAATAGTCGAAGCTCTTACCATCCATAAGCTTAAACCAGAACTATGCGTACAAAAGAGTTAAGTCTTATCATTATCGTTACCATGACCTTAATATTATTATTATCACTCTATTATTATTATTACTACTACATTTCCGCTTCACTTATTTCTTATATTCTCATTATTTTATTCATGAATACTCATCATATCACTTTATTTATTTTAACACCTCTATGACCCTTCATGACCTTTAATTACTGCAACAAAAACATTTTATTCATTTTAATCATCTTATTATATTCACTAAATCTATTGTTATTGCTCGTATTACGTAATCTAGTATTATAATCTTTCTATTACGTCATCTTGGTTATTAGTGTTCACATTTCCTCACAGAATTAGTATTTTAATAAAAAAATTTCATATATATACGGTTATACAGTTTGATAATAAATTCGTTTTCATAGTTGCAAGTGTGAGTCAATTGAAGCTAGACCACCAAGGAAAACCTGGAAGCACTGGACGGCCATTTCGTCCTATTGTGGGACTCCTCGCGAGGCGAGGTCGTGGATGCACACTACTGAGGAGTCTCACAATAGGACGAAATGGCCGTCCAGTGCTTCCAGGTTTTCCTTGGTGGTCTAGTTTCATTTGACTCACACTTGCAACTATGAAAATACTAAATCTCCACAAAAACCCCTTCTGATAACAATAAATTCGTTGAAAAGAGATCCCTTCGCTGAACTTCGTGTTTTTAATTACAATAAGTGTGCCTAAAATTATTTAAACATCTTTTCAGAATAAGCTAGCAATGACGTGTCAAAGCTATTTTAGCATGAATTTGGGAAGTGAGATATTGAGGCATATGGTATGGGCTACTGGGTATCTTTAAGTTAATGTTTTTAAAGCAACTTCTCATAGCCGTCTCATGGTTAAGACTTTGTGTCAGGACAGTTTTGTGGTAATGATTTTGGTTGAATGAAATCCTATGAAACCTTAAATAAAACATTTTTAAGAGACATTAAGGATAACTTTATATTTAATATAATTTCAACTATTTCATAACTAAATATAGATGAGTAGTTAAATGTTTATTTGAATTTTCCCTACGATCAGATCAACAAGCCTTTTGGGACTGCTTCTAGTAATTTTAGAAATAGTTATTACCTACGTTTATATCTTTCTATTACAACTGAGGTTTCGGGTGACAAATTTCACTTGGAAATCATATAAGCAAACACTATATTGTGGCCTGTGTTGAAAATCAATCAACCAACAGGTGAACTTGAACTTATTAATTGGAGTAAAATCATCACTATCACAAAGTTCAAACCTGAATCGTGTTATCAAAAATAATATTGTATATCTATCATTGAGTAGGTCATGCTATACTGAATAATATCATCTAATAAGAATGATCACAAGATCTTTTTTGTGTTGTCTTTTTTCTATTCTGCTCATTTTACTTTGATAGTCGCTTTCATCTTCGAAGTTCAGCTTATTTTTAATCCAATGGGATTGATAATTCCCTTTTTCATAATTCACTATTCATTTTCACCTCCTGCTGTTGTTTAACAGTTACGTTTGTATACTTCAACCCAATTAGGCAAAACTAGAATAAATACTTAAAATTTCATTGCTCATAGTTTGTCTCGTTATATTTTCATTGTCAAATGACTATTTCTTTGGCGGAGTAGATCAGTTTGAAGTTAGTTTTAGTCAGTAAATGGTATCATCTAAAAAATTATGGAATTCTAAAGAGTAGTTATTTCGTGACTGATTCGTCACAGTCAAACAGCCGATTTTTGACGATTTTCCAGATAACCCTAGTTTGAGAATAAAAATATCTAATGGTGATGTTCTGTGCAGCATCATAGATGAACACGGTGGATGTGAGGCAGATGTGAAGACGCAGATCAGCAAAGCAAGAGCAGCATATTTACAACTGAAGAACATCTGGAACTCAAAACAATTGTCAACCAACACAAAAATCAGAATTTTCAATACAAATATCAAGACAGTTCTACTGTATGGAGCGGAAACCTGGAGAACTACGAAGGCCATCATCCAGAAGATACAGGTGTTTATCAACAGTTGTCCACGCGGAATACTTCTGATCCGCTGAGCAGACACTATCAGCAACATTCTACCGGGAAGAGAACAAAACAGATTCCAGTGAAGGAAGAAATCAGGAAGAAGTTCTGGAAGTTGATAGGACACACATTGAGGAAATCACCCGACTGTGTCACAAGACAAGCCCTCACATGGAATCCTGAGGGCCAAAGGTAAAGAGGAAGACCCAAGAACTAATTACGCCGAGAAATGGAGACAGATATGAGAAAAATAAAAATTGGATAGAACTAGAAAGGAAGGCTCAGGACAGAGTAGATTGGAGAATGTTGGTGGGCGACCTATGCTCCATTGGGAGCAACAATCGTAAGTAAGTAATGGTGATATTGACAACTTTAGAACAACCAACTAACATGAATAGGGGTAAAAATTCACTTGAATATCATAATTCACAGATAAAGGAAATAATATTTATAGGAAGAAACATGAAAGTAGTTCTACTAAACTTACTAATTTTGATTTGTTCCACATTTGATGAACTGATATGATCCGTATTCCCAAGACGATTTGTGTCAATAATTTCTTTAGATCCGATGGTTGTATTACTATTTTCATTATTATTGTCAATCAAAGCATCACTGATATTTCTAGTTGTTGTATTTCGCCTCACTTCCCGTTTAGATGTAGTTTCAATGCCAAAATTAGACGTGAACCTACTGGCTGCGAACGTCTCATAACTTCCAACAACACATAGACGTTTGGTGAATTCTTCACTCTTTTGATCGGTAGTCACATTTTGATATTCCTGTTTATTTATTATTGTGGTTGTCATCATTGTTACGGATGTTTGTTGCTTATATGATTCTATATTATCAGTGAAGTTAACAATTTCTGGGTTTAATAATTTACAATTTTTATTAGTTAATAATCGGTCAGAAAAAGCCACTGGATTTAATTGATCATGATTATTTTTATTACTCAACAATGGTGACATTTCCTTAACTTCCTTTTCTTCTGAAAATATCATCAGGGCTATATTTTGTATACTTTCATGACCATATAAGCACGTACATGGTGAATCGATTAATTCTTCTGTTAATTCCATGTGTAATATATTCGATTGATTGAAATTAGTATTATTTAATGGATAATTTTCGTGTTGATACAATCTACTAACCGCTGATTGATTTGATGAATCACTTGCTTCACTGTTGATTACATTATACTTCAATACACTGTTGTCTACTGAGTATGGTTGATCCGAATTTAGATCAGAATCTGAAATTTCATCATGATTAAGCAATCGATTTTGTGGGTCATTATTGCTTGTTTGGAAAGAACCTTTTAGAAAATGATATTAAGAGGCAAATTAAAATTATATATGGTAAGCGTTTATGGGTAGAAAATACAGTTTAGGATTGGGAAAAAATTCTATCATGTATTTACCACAGGTTAAATATAAAACTGAGGGTTCTCGTCATATATTACTCAGAACCTATCACTTGTGTAGACATGTGAAATTTACTTTGAACTTAACACTTGTCACTGCCAAACACTCGTACACTAGTCTACAAACTCCAAACTAAAAATACTTACTTCCTGTACAACAAATGTTAGTTATCATTAAAGCCAATTTACTGAATATGAAACCCATAAGCCATTAAAATGGACCTGTCTACACCTACAGTCCCCTAACGAAAGATTGTGAGGCCAAATAATTAGTAATTTAGTTTTCTAGACACCATATTGAAAAACACAGTTGTCAAATAATTGAAAGTTCACCAATAAAAGCTAAAAGACCGTTTACAAAAACAAATTTTCGAATATCTATCGCAAGCAAATGGATTGTGTAAACAGAATCAAACGTTAAATAACTTGAGAAAGTAAAAGTAAAGGGTTTTATTGGTACTTAGTTTTCGAGAAATTAGAGAGAATTTATGGATCAAAAGTGAGCTTTGAAGGCTTTAGTTTCCCTGAAATGAATTATGTTATAGTGAAGTTTTCAAGCAATATTTCTGTGTTTCTCAGATGAATTTGAGGGATGGATTCGTCGTTATGCTGTTATTAGTATTAATACGATATTCAGTGATAAAGTATTTGATAGGTCTTTAGATACTTCTTTCCAGACTATAAAGAGTTATCACACTATGAATATACCTGGCTTCACGAAGCGATTCAACAGTCAAATATTATCTTTTAGGTCAATGGAAGATATTGGGCTGAACAAGAATACTATCCATAGGGTTAGGACCAAAATAGTTTTCTAAAATATATGGCAATCCCCATTACGAAGACAACAAATAAACCGCCTTAAGTTTTATACCGTTTTTATTCAATATTGATATCAAGTATATATTTTCAGCTAATATTCCATTATGGATTTTTGACTATTCCCTTAATTGTCTTTATCACGATCTTAACCCAAAACCAAGGACAATACCTGCCTTCTTCATTGTTATTTTCTTAAACTATGAGGAGTTGCACAATGATCTAAAGCGTAAAACCGATGATAGTGAAATTAGACTACTGGCGTGTTCTCCAACAATTCAATATTTATAAACCTCATAAGGTTGGAGTAACTAGTGTGATAGACGAAAATCATGCGATCTTTATGTGATTTGGAAATTCCATCATAAAAATTATTTGTTGTTCTTCATGAAACAAATCAAGCTCATACCATTTTGAAGTTATCAACTATGATGATAAGCATACCAGTTTGGAATAGTTGAAAGTGAACAAATTCATAACTAAATCCAGTACTATTATTTTATGTGTTTATTTCACTTCTACATTTTTTCTATAATTGTTCATCTGAATACATGATAAATAAACAAATTATCATATTTAAAAGTAATACCCGCTTTCTTTAGTTCTTTACAGAGGAAGCCACATAGGTAGCGTTTCAATTTCAGTGTGATGCTTGCATCAGACTTCTTTAAAACCGAAATGGCCTTTAAGTTATCTAGACCACTTAGGGATATTTCATTTACCTGTGAATGTGAAAAGAGAAAATAAGCCATAATGAATTCAAAATCTAAAAGTATACTACTTAATTATACCTCATATCATGAAAACTAATAAAAAGTTGGTTAGCGGCTACTAGTGGAATCCAACACAAGCATTTCATCCTCCTACTTCATAGACATTACAGGTATGAATTCTCATCAGGAAAGCCCCTAGTCAGTATACAAATAACTGAAAGTTCACTGGATTCTGTTATCACTTTCATTAACTCATCAGTAAATACTTTGGCTAATCAGACAACCAACCTCCGTATCCAACACAATAATATCTGACAGTGGTCACAAAAAACACTAGGTCATTTCGGTAAATGTTTTATTGAAGATACTCGTTCAAGATTCCTTCTGAATATTTGTTAGAAATACTCTATAATGAGAAACGTTTACTTCAATAGGCTAATTACTGAACACATGGAAGTAGATTATCTTTTAGACCGAGTATGTTGTTGATTAGTTACACATATGAGATATGATAACTTTTTGGTTTTCTATTGTAATAACTCTCCGCTTTTCAGCTATTTTCTTCGTCATCAGACTCTTTAGGAGTAATCGTACTATAGTTTCTTACATTGAAGCGAAAATTGTCTTCTTTATTTCTATATGCATCCATTTTTCTAGAATCTTAGAGGGTTCCGATGACAGTTTACTTCAGTAGCATTGGATTTTCGAAAAGACTGTATGGGTGTAATTCACTTATAAACAAGGTAAACACCTCTTTCTAGATGTGGTAATGAACGTAACCGGTTTAATACAGTTGTTTATTTTGGATTAAAAAGAATGTAATTTTAAATTGTTGACAGTTAACACGTGACTAAGAAATAATTAAACTCATATGGAAGAAGGACTATTGGTTTCAATGCACAATGAAATTTATTAAGACATCATCAATGTAAAATTTTATCATCTCCCTGTAAGTCATTGGATAAATATTCTTCATCAAGTTCGTTCTGCCATTTCATCATCTAAATAGATCAAAGCGGTTATTTGGAATACATAATACTAATAAGAAAAAGCCAATAGTAATGAGTTCTTATTCTCACTTGGATTATTTGATCATTTACTTGAATTGATTTTGATTTATCCGATATACTGTTGGGAGTGATGTTTTGGACAAAAATTCCTTTATTGTATTCATTTTCTAAAAGGAGAAACATAATATATACCGAAATGATTTATTATTTGTCTACCTTAAGTTTCGTTAGTAGCACAAATAGTTATATTCCTTTTTTCCCATTCAATAAATATTTATCATATGTAAATGATGTACTGAAGCATGAAAAGAAATCGAAAACTAAGAATCATTTTCGTCAATTCAGGCAACATCTGAAAATCTTTCTTTAATGTAAGAACACCAATCTCTTTGTTAGGATATTTATCTAAAGGACACTTTGTCACGTATAGTGTATGTCTCATTGTTTATAGATATTGCTTCGTCAGTTGATTGTAAAAATTAGTTCAGTTTTTCAGGTAGGTTTCGTCACAGACACAAGTTAACTGGTGGACCACTGAAATAAAGGAAACAATGAGTCGTTATTCTTTCCTGGTTTGAGGCCTTTCAACTGTACACACCTAGCTTGATCAGGAAATTCACGTTAGTCATTTGATATAGAATCAGTAGTATCAGACCTATTAAGATTAGATCACTAGTAAGTTTGAACAACCGAATTGAACATTTGAAATAAATCTAGTTAGCCGTATTTCATAAATCATGTTTATAATCGTTCTGCGTATTAACTCATGCTTATGGAGGACCAATACAGCATCACCATCGGTCAGACTATAAGACTGACTCATAAACAAGAAGTATACTGTGAACTATATTTTATTGTATTGATTTTTCACTTCTTTGTGGGTCGGTTGAGTCCGAATAAACTGGGTCATTTATATGGTATGTTTTATTCTAAATCATTCAAGTCACTTTACCTTGAAACCAACGTTGTTTAGGTTTCTATTTCCAAGACTTTTGAGGAGGAACCACTGTAATCATGGAACACTAGGGAATTGTTTCATCCTTGTTTATGTCTCCTCAAAAGAATCCACCTATTACCATACTAGAGATCAGACCTACAACCTTCCCGTCTCTCTGTAAGAGTGCTTTTAAAGGTAACTCAGTGAAAAATCATTGTGATATAAGGAGACTGTTATCATGAAACGAGTATAGTAAAAGTCAGAACTTTTGGGACAGTTTTTCGAATTATTATTGTCCATATTTTCATTGTATAATTTATAGATAACTTTATTATTGTGTTCCTACATTCGCTGTATCATAAGCTCCCAGCGGACCTATGAACTACTGTTAGACGTGTTACTGTTCCTTAACTATTGCTAATTAATTATGCACTGTTTACTTAGCTCTGACATGATATGATTGTGTTTAAAATATTATTTCTTGTTTGGTCTGCTTCAGGATCTGATAGTCTGTGTATAATAGCTAGTGACTGTTTGAAATAGATGTTATGCTGGTTGGTTGGCCTGGATAATTAGAATATATTATTAATAGGAGCTCGAGTGCAGATTTCTCTCCGGGATCAAGGTTAGAGATGGAGAAAAGGCTTTCGAATAGACGAGTCAATAGGAGTGTTGCTCATGTAAGCTCAAGGTCAGTTGTGTTGATCAAAACCTATTATTATCAAGGTCACTAGGCTACAGATGAAATAGTAAACTCGTGGTATAGTCGAAATTCTGATTGGTAAATTCAGCACGTGATATAGATAACGTATCTTAAGACATAACATAGATCATCATCTAGTTTCATCAAACATACTTTCATTACAAACCAACATCTCTTAACTCTCCCAATCAAGGTGACTCAATAGAACATATGAAATTTACTTTGAGTTAGTAGATATGTTTACTAGTGATACAAACATTTCAGTTATACAGATGTAGGTGAATAATCTGTTCAAGATTACTCGCTGCTAACGGGAGAAATATTGATAAAAATGCCTAAAATATATTAAGCTAATAGCTCATAATCGTTTTCCTGAAGTTTTACCATTTCTTCATGATGTAGTGTGACCTCGACTTATTCAAATGTTCTTTGAAATTTTCACAAATTTAAAGTAATTTTTCATCAATTAAATGACTGTTACTAGTCGATAATCACATTTTTTTCTCATTTATTAACATAATATTAAGTTTCACTCTACAATTTGAAGTACTTTCAATCTAAGTCGATATTTATATACTGAATACTTCAAAATATTTTTGGAGGCTTCACGGCACTAGATTGTTTATTCGTCATTTATCACTTGCAATCATTAGTAAAATTTTTAAAAAAATATGAGTGTAATAAAATCAGTGCTGTATGAAGTAACTATTCATAGTTTATCATTTGGTTGACATTAAAAAACTCATTTAATGAAATTTCTTCTGTCTTCCAAAGAGGTAAAATGTTATTTCTCTAGCTTTCAGTCACCGGCGTTCACATAACTGGTTAATTTTTGGTAACCAAAGCAATGCTTAAGTTTTTGCTAAAGTTGTGTTCTCTGAGCTAGATACTTTAGTCGTTAAACTTTCATTATCAATCTACAGGAAATCATCAGCGCGGACTTCAAACAGAAGCAAACCACTAACATTTCTCCACAGGTTGAATCCCAGAATGGTAGAGGTAGTAACAGTATCAGTGGTAATAGGGAAGATTAGGCATCGAAGATACGATTCGAGAATAAAATATAAATTACTGAAATAAAAACACAGAAACGGTCATGAGGAATTTAGAAACTCCGAATTCTGAGGAAGACAAAGAATGAATCCACCTGCGTCATTGAAAACGACTTTGAACCAGGTCATTCGAAATCTCTTACCACTGACTTCAATAACCACGCAGACCACATCCAGATAGTCTATTCCTATAAGCACGGCTAAGTCCAATTGTCAGTGACTTCATGGACGTGCGACATGATTTGGTTTGGACGCTCTTGCCTTTCTTCCAACCTACTCCTACAACAGAAAACATGACGCTTCGATGTAGGCAGCGATTGGACATGCGTAACACATGTCCCAACCACCTCAAATGATGAAGATTTACTATCTGTTTGATCGATTTCCAATTTTTAGCTTGTACTTTATCCCTAACCCAACTCTTACTCTGTGTTCCGAACATACACGAGTAATGATTCGAAGACACCTATGATTGAAAAGCAGTAAACAACGAATATACTCAATTATTAATGGCCATGTTTCATATCCATAAGGTAGGACGGAGTGAAATGCTGTGAGTTGCAATAAACGAAAACTTGTGTAAGGTGTATTGAATACGCTATTTGCACATTTTCCTTGAATTGTCTCTTACAAGCTCCATCATTCTTTCATTCCTGTCGTTACTTAGACTGCTTTTGGCTTTTCTTTCCTTTCTCCTGATATTCTTCTTCTGTGAGTAAGAATCCTATTTCGAGTTCTTGGTCCATGCTACTTATATCTGCACGTATAAGTAGAACACACAACCGTGAACTCACCCTTGGTTTGGAGGATGGATATCTCGCCTACGCTAAAAAGCGACGTGAGTTGACAAAAGCCATATAACATACCATCAGTACTGATAAGACTTTCAAAATAAATAAAGAGATTGACACGCTTGACTACTTTATACAATATCAATAATTAGGGCAATAACACAAGCCGATCCAGAAGTAACGTTGATGTGTGGGCGGGAATGATAATGATTAGTTGTCTGCTTAGTCAGAATTGTAGATAGTCTGACAGGTGTTAGATGAGTTATGTTATATTCCCTTATCCTTATTATTATTATTGAGTGTTGTTGGACTATGTCGTCTTGTTGTCGGTTTTCGGTGTGGAAATATATTTACTTTCTAGTCAGGCTAATGACGTTTTCTTGATCTGAGTTGCGTTGAAGTCCTGTCGAATAAACACTGGGATGAAATCTAGTGTAGATATTCATCTAAGGTAAATTAACGTCCCTTGAGTAAAGAGAAGAAAATCCGAGCTTTATAACAAATATTTTACATCTAGTGCCAGAGGACCGCATTGTAAATGTGCTCGCATTGTTGCTGAAGGTGTTCGGAAGACTGTGTTTCGTCAGCATCTTCACCAAATGGAACTATATCATTTGTGTATTCTATTCAGCAAGTGAATCTCCCGATAGAATATCAACCCCTTTAAATGTTTGGTAGAAAGTCTGTTCAGGGTCAACGTACAACTTTGGTATACCTGTATCGGAACATCACAATCAATAAAGTTGAACAATGTCCTAATATCAAGGAATACAACTATAGTTGGGCATGCAAAAATATGTCTATGTTCCAGAACCTTCTTCAGAGTGAATAATTAGTCTGTATATCCACATCAAAGATTTTGTATACCATTCCGATCTACCTCGCAGTAGAAATCAATTTCATGGTGACTTATTCCTTCTCTAGTTGTTTCTGAAATATATTCGTAGCTTTTTCATCAACAAGTTGAACTCTAGAGGGTTTTTCGCTGTGTCTTTTCTCCATTTAGTAATACGCAGACAGATACATGCTTGAACTACTGCTTCATTCGAGTCTAGAAATGTGCTTCAGAATGATCATCAGTCTTCGATCGATTACTTCAACGATGGCTGATGGTAATGTGACCTATTTGAGCACATCGATGAGTCAATTGTGGAGTTCGCCAAGTCAAACGATCTCCCTCCTTATGTTCAAAGTTGATGCTTGCTGTAAATAGTTGGTTATTTGAGCAAAGTTGTAGCAAACAGTCGCCATTTTCAGTTCACTGAGCCGCAACACCATAAGATCCGTCTAAGTGCCTTTTTGTTTGGTTTAGTTCACCTGAGTATTAAAAACACCTATCACTATTACTACATCAGAGCGTCTAGCTTTTTGAAGGGGGTTGAATAGCTTCGTGTAAAATTCATCTGCTTCATCCCAGCTGCAATCTGTGGGAGCATAAGCGGAGACAACGAAGAGGCAACGGTGTATGTTTCTATCCTTTCAACTTCTTACTGTTCTGTTTTGTCGGGCAATATACAAACTACTGTCTATTGAAAGCCAGTCTATGTAAGCCAGTTCTACTTTTGAACTTAGTGATATACCCACACCAGCGAGGCCACGGGACGTAACAGTGGGGTCTGTAGGTACTCAAGGGGTAAGTCGTATGGGTTGTTTATGTTGATAAGGTGGGGTCAAACGAATGACCGTACTTGGATCCTGTATGGGCGCTTGGGAGACGCAGCACGCATCGATGGAGAGAGATTCTAGAGTCTTAGCTGAAGAAGCATGTTGTCCTATCTGACACAAGGTTTAAACAATAAAAGCTCCAACATGTGGTTTAGAGAGTGGTTACAGGAGACCGGAAATAACATTTTGTGAACTTAAATCATTAATATTGATGGCGCGTGGAGATAAGATAAATGGGAAAGGTTATTCGTGAGGATGGGAGAATCATTAAATGGTGAATAAGGGATTCGATGGCGAACAAAAATGATCTCAAGTGCTGTTAGAGGTATGAGAGCCGTTGTCACTTACTGATTGCTCACATTGTGGAAGGATATTTCTTCTTGAGGGACCTGAAAAGGAAGCTGAATTAGTGGTGGTTTTAGCGGTCTGATAGTGTGATTGCAGAGTTCAAGGGTTATCCTCTTGAGTCAGATCACACACGGACTTTTTATGAATAGTTTTTGATGCATTAGTTCCGCACTCTAAAAGGGGGGTTTTTATATCGTAGAAGATGTTGATAAAATAGTGAGTTTTTTTCGAGCTCATATTACGTATCTTCATCACAATCATACCCCTGAGTTACAAAACTTCCCTACCATCTCACTGTCTATGTGTAAATTGGTGACGAAGGCAGAGATGTAGTAATGATTTGTTGTCACTTAGTCAGGTGCCACAATACCACTGTGTCCTGTCGTGAAACCTCCTGACGATATTTCAATGTGGTCGGTACTTATGAACAAAATGATTTAGAAACCTTGAAGGAGCTGGTACTCCATGAAGGGATATTGACTAACTAAATTATTACACCGAATGAATTTTCCATAGTTCCTGTATGATGTTAATTTCAAAAAGATTGTATATGATCACAATCATTTTATAGAAAAGCATATTACTAACTTACTATCATATGGATTTTTATAAATATATCCAACTACACTTAAACCTAAACCTTGGTCCTTTGATTTTGTTAATTGTACAGTGTGAATTTCAGTTTTTTCTGCCTCTTCTTCGACATTCTTTTGTTTTTTATCAACATGAATTGATAAGCTTTGTTGACTTATATTCTCAAGAACATATTTGTTGAGAGAAGATGAATTATGATGATCAATTGAACAGGTTTGATAATTCAACGTTGTGTTGCAACCAATTTTTACATTTTCATTATATTTATCTTGACAGAATAAATTTTATGAAAAGGAAAAATAGCGGCAATTATTTGTTACTATCATGAAACCACTTGTTAAAAAGAACTCATTTTATAGAGCAGTTGAGAAAACGAAATCGATTTGAAAAATGTGATGAATGTACGCTGTACGTCTCGAACAATCTGGACACACATATACTTGTCAAGGCACTAATAAAAGTCAATTAAGTAAAACATTCAATAAACATAAAGCGATAATTGTAAATAAAGAGAAAAAACTAATGTAATATAAACATTTGCATTACGTTTACTTTGCCATTGCTGATTAAACTGATTTGTCTACTTGCTGCTTAAATGTACTCGATTTTGATGAAACATGATGAACCAACAACGAATATTCATTTTTCTATTAAATTTTGGCTCTGGATAAAAGTCGAATGAAATTATCCATTACCTTCACCCATCTTAAAACTTATGCCCTACGGTCTCCATTTCTGTTACTGACGATAAGCCAGTAATAGCTGTTGAAATAAAGCATTTGTGAAATCGCATAACCTTTTATGTTGAGTGCATCTGTTTCCTAACATCCGGTAAATGGTATGTTGTTGAATGTATTATCTCAGTTTTAATTCAAATTGTAGAGGGTAAGATCGGACATTATTTAGCTGTTTCCCCGTTTGATGTTGATAAAAAACGTGGACAGGTAAATAATAATTTCTAATTTGTTATATTATATCAAATTATAATTTGAAAAATTACTTATCAACGGTTGAAGCATTAAATGAATCGTTTTATCTGTGTATGTAAGGATCAATTATTACCAAAAAAAATATAATGTGAGGAATAATTTACCATTAGTTATATGGTAATTGATAGAGTGAAAAAGACCCTGTTTAGAGTCACCTACACAATTATTTGAATCTTTTTGTTACCTTTCTTTGTGTTAGGATTTCTGTATATCACTATTCATCGAAGAAATAATTTATCTCTATTTTACTTGATGTATATGGTTTTTTTCTGAGTTTGTGAATCGTGTGTTGTTGGTGTAAAGTTAGCGCTACCCACATAAAAAACTTATAGTGTAGCTGATCTTGTTGGGCTGACATTAAAGCAACTGTGGTTTTTTTCTTCAGCCCTAACGATAAATTTTAGAGGTGCGACAATAAACATTTTTAGAAAATATAGTGACTGATTTAAGTATTATAAAAAACGTGCTCAATATATCTAGCTGCACCTTTTCATGTATGAAGACATAACATACTATAAAACAAATTATCTGTAGCTTTAACACGTCCATACTTAAATCTAAACTACTGATATCATTATTACTAGGGCTCACTACTATTGATGGGGTAAGCACTGAACAAATTATTGACTTTTATATTCGCCTTAAAGCAAAAATAATAAATAATATCACCTATAAAACTATGATTGTTACGAGACAGGTATGAGGAGCACAAAGGGTGAGAGGTGCGTAAAAATTTGTCCAATGATGCGTGGGCGGATGTGAACAATAAATGTAAACCAGTTATTTTAATTATAATCAAAGATGGATAGTGGCTAGCAGTGGAATCCCGGACGCGCGTTTCGCCCTATTTAGGACTCGTCAGCTGGATGTACCTGCACCTCAGAGTTGATGTTCGATCCGGGACTCGAACCCAGTACCGTTCGCTTCAAACGCCATCGCCTTATCCACTTAGCTACTGAGTTATGCTTACAGTGCTTGCGAGTTAAGGCTATATCGAGGCAATACGCACAGTATGCACATATGGCCAATAAGTGACTGATCAATTGCAGTCCTAAACGTCAATTAGAAGATTCAACCAAACAATACCAAAGGAATTCAGTTATTTTAATGTTATTTCAAATGTTTAGTATAAATAGCATTGTATTAGCATCATAGTGATTTTTCCTAAATATTAAAATTTTGTTCATCTAATGAAAAAAGGCTTTTCATCCCATTTTGCTCAATGTAATGCATAGTGCTCACTAGTAACTAGCTTCAAGATGTATTCCCTGAAGTTCTAGTGAGGAGTCATAACCAGTAGAGTTCTATCCATGTTGAGTGGATACAATTATTCACTTCTGACAATGGATGAAGGGTTGTGCAAGATCATGGACTGACTGAAGTTAGAAATTAACACTAACGGATGCTGGTACAGTGGTCTAGAGGTTAGCTGTTTTACTGCGAGATCGAAGGTCTTGGGTTTGAGTCGCGCATGCAGTATTGTGGACACGCACTGCCGAGAAGTCCTATGCTAGGACGAAGCAGCCAACCAATGCTTTCAGGCTTTTAGTGGTGGTCTAGCTTGGATTGGTTCGTGAATTCGACTATTAAAATGGATAGTTTTAAAAATGGAATCGTTGGTTATTGTTTTTTGAAGTGATATAACGGAATAATCCTTTCAATTTTTACCTTTCTCTAAAATATGGAAGTTATAAGTTAGCAAACACTAGCTTCAAACGTTGTCATGGTCACGCAAAATGTGATATTGACTACGGTGTATCTGGCAGCGTCTCAATCGCTTGAAGAACGCTATCAAAAAATATGAAAGGACAACTCATTGTCAATTAAAAACCAGAAACTATAAATTAAATCTTTATATTGAAAAAATAGTCAAAGGGCAACTCAAAGATCTGCCAATTTTATTCTGTGAAGTTGATCAGTTTTTTAATAATGTTTCCTGAAGAGATGTTATAAGTACTCAGAATCCAGCATTTATGTTTCCCGAATTTATTGAACGATATCTGACTGTTATTCGTGAGCATGTGCACCAAAATTATGAATGGGATTCCCTAAAGAGCGATTGAAGTATATCTGAACGAGCATCACCTCTTAAGCCAGGTACATTTAATTCAAAATGTCTTAAAACAGACATGTTACTATTTGATTGATCTTCAAGTGTAACCGAGACTGTAGAGTTCGCCATTGTCTAATGTTAACTAAAAACGTGAATAAAGAAGCACAAATTTTAAACAAAAAATGATGGTGGCTAATAGTGGAATCCAAGGCGGCCGCTTAGCATTTTTCGGATAATTCAAATGGATGTACCTGCATCTCAGAGTTGATGTTTACTCTAAGACTCGATCCCAGTACCATTTGCTTCAAACGTCATCACGTTACAAACTTAGGTACTGAGTTCAAATAGCCACTGGCTTGTCCATTGGGGTGAAAATAGGACGTACAAATGATAATATCGAGGTAATCCTCACAAGATGTATATATGCCAAAAGGAAATGATCAATTGTGGGCTCCTACATCAATGTGAAGATCTAAGCAAACAATATATATGAAATGAATTTTAAGAAATAACAAGTTTTCTTTTTAGCTTCCGAAATTATTTTACTATGATCGAAACACTAAAAACAAATTTTCATTGATGTATGCAAGATCACTTATTACAGAAGAAACCTAAATGGCCTAATGTAGTCCGACTGGCTGCCTAACATTTAGAACAAAGCAATACCACTTTCATGGAGGCGACACAAAAAGCTTTAGAGTTCGACAAATTGACATTTCCGTACTCAAAGCAATCTTCACTGTGCTTCTGAGGACTGAATACTGAATGAAAGCACGTGCTCACAATATACAGATTGTAGTAACAAAACGATAATTGGACGTTAACCTTAAATTTATTGCCTTCAAGATAAACTGACACTTGCTGTATGCTAATGATTGAAACGTCACCTACGCCCACCTGAGGTCATTGCATTATTCAGCACGTTCACAGTCGTTAATGTAACAGGCACTTACAGCATATCTGGCAATCCCACCCACTGTTCTGGAAACGGATTGCCATGCAAGTATCTTACGTCTTACTACGCACGTATTAATTAAGAAACCTGCACAGAATTCATTAGTGCAAGGTGGTTACCTCTCAAATGTAGCTGTCAAAAAATATTTCCCCGTCCAAAAAACTCGAACCAACTCCATTTTCTCACCGATCGATCAAAACTTATAAAATGGTGTGATTACCTTAAAGTATATATGTAAAATAATTATTGTATACAGGTAATGAAAATAGATGTTAGAAAAGTCGTGACTGATTTTTAATTTCATTGAGTATTCACCTAAGAAACTTGAGACACATTTTTCCTTGAATATACCATCACTTTATCACATACCAGAAAGCCATCCATGGGAATATTGAGTTCCAATAGCTACCACCTGCTCAACGAATCATATTAGATTGTTGAAAATTCGAGACAGTAGGTCCTGTTTGACATAGATCATGTACTATTTAAAACTGGTAGAAAAGTGGTACACTTAATATTGAGATACTTATGTTTTTGATGTGGTCTCAACTTTGGTCACTCAGTGTTACGACCAGCAATATCAATACATCTAACACTGAACTTAAATAATTTAAGAGATTAAACAGTTCATTAATGAAAACTCGCTTCATGAACAGAACATTAAACACCAAAAAATGGAACAAATATTTTATCCACAGAGTAATATAATCGGTTCAAGAAATATCTGTCTAGATGAATGAGAAGATAAGCTTTATTCTTAGTATTAACTATTTGCTTTAACAGACAATGTACTTAGCTCATTAGCATGGAAATACAATTACAAATGAAGATATTAGAGCTACGTGGAACAACAAATCACAGACAAGACCAATAGAAGAAGCCAGTTTTTTTAATTGTAGAATAATTCCCATATCCCCATTCCTATGTAGACTTGATGGATACTTTGAAATTACAGAGAGATATAACTTTCTGAAAATTACTACAAGCGATGAAATACTACTCACCATGCAAAACGAAAGTAAAGAAGACATAGATAGATATTTAAGTAGATAGGTAGGTAGTTAGTCAGTTAGTTATTTAGATAAATAAATACATAAATCGATATTATACACCAAAAATCAATCAAAACTCTACCCGAATACAGTGGTTTTTTATGTCTTTTATTCACATCTAGTAATATTCATATTTGAATGGATTAAATTTAGTGGCTCTTGACAACGGTCAGTCAATAATTTGGTATTCCATTGGAATATTGAATTGGTCTAAGTTGAACTAACATTTAAAAACCTAATGCACTGAACAGTCGTTACGTCCCAGTATTTAACTCTTCAGCAGTGTGCATCCCCGAACGTGGAATTCAACTTGAGGGCCTCCGGTCTCGCTTCCAAACCCTTAACCTGACATACTAGTGTAGTGAATGCTAATCACAAGGATCTTTGTGAGTAGCGTGTGGCAGAATTTGGTGTCGAAGTTGCAACGATTGTCAGACAGAGTGAAGAGTCTCAGTGCTTCGAAAGCACGGTATTGGCAGTACACTTGGAGGACTGTCTAGAAGACAGTTCAGTTTTCAGAACACACTGGAAGATGCAAATGGGCGGTTGAATATTATGTATATGTATTATGTAGATACTTTGTAACTGCTCTTTTCCTCCTGCATATTGTCATGTTTAACACTAGAATGAAATGACCTCCTGGTGCTCCTGGATTTTCAGTACTGATCTAACTTCGATCGCTTCAAGATTTCAAACAAATTCAACAACATCCGCAAGTCCTTACTGATAACAACTTGATAGATGAACACAGTTCAAAATTTCACGATAACCAACACGTGGTCAGTAAGAAATCAATTTTGAGTACCACTCGTACACAAACCACAGAAGACTTTAACCATAATATCAAACACTACTCAGAGAACTTAAAGTCATTAAATACAATTAAGCTGCACTTCGTTAATAATGCATGATGAGTGTATTTTTTAAATGTTTAAACTTACTATCTAAGCGATCATTTTCAATAACTGGACTTTGTAGATTATTGCGGACCTGTTCAATATCAGATTCTGAGGAATTTCGAGGACTTTCTATAACCTGAAGTGTCGAGCACGGTTTCACCTCTCGGAACTTCTGAAACTAAAGTAACAACTGACTATTTGTTAATATTGTTAAAGAAAAGATTATTCAGTTAGTCAGTTAGTTAATTATTCAGTTGGCTAGTGAGCTAATATAAGTCTAGACTAGTAAACGTCAATTTGTATAATGTATTGATGCCATACAACATTTATATAGTCATTTAATACCTAATATTGCCAGATACGATTTTCACTCTTAATGTAATTGATGAAAAGAGATTAAATTGGCACAAATCGTTTAAACATAGGTTGCTTTTGGGCAATTGAGATCGAAGGATATATGTTTGACATAAAATGAAAGTACGCATCGGTTTACGGAAAGATTTTTACCTTAGAATTCAGCTAAGAGAGTTTTAGCTAACCACTCATTTGAATGATTGAAAAGCAACTATTTTCTATGGAACGCATTCAGTTAATGTTACTGTTGTATATTTGACAGTAATACTTTGTATTCTATACCTGAAATTACTGTGAAGTTTCTTAAAAATCTAGTGGTAAACTTACCCACAAGCACCGATTTTTCATCATTTTAAACGAAATTTTGTTGTTTTCTTCAGTTTTTTTTCTATTTCACTACTGTTATCATTATTAGTAAATATCTTTTTGCTATATCCCAATGAGGAGAAATCTATATTTCTGACGTTTCGTGACCTAATGTAAGTCACTTCTTCAGAGTAAATAAGTAAATGATGAGAATTAATATTACTTTTATTAGTTTTATGATATGTGGCAGTTAAACTGAAATATGATTGGTCACTGAGCATGGACGAACATGGACTTAGCCTACTGACTATTGAATATGTGATTTCCTTTCCCATCGTCGATTTCTACTCCGGACACACTGTGAATGAGCACCTGTAACTATGCTGAATAAAGTATGACCTACTCTGTACTGTTCTGGGTTGTGAATCCTGGATCTGATATAACGTGACAAGTCTCGTAATTGTATTATGGTATTATCATAGTATACCTGAGGGGAAATATTTTAAACAGTCCATTTTATCACTTCACATCGTTTTGTTCACTTCATTTTGGCTTGATGCTTACGGAATGAAGCTTCTTCTATCGGAACTTTATTCGATGTTGATTTAACTCGTTGTGAATTTCTTAATGAATGAGAGATCATGGTAATTAGTAATTTTGCTTTGAACAAATAAACAACGAACATAAGACATCTTTATTTTTAATGATTATATTGTTAGGACATTATAGAAACGGGACAATGTTTTAACTTCATGGACTTTTTAGTCCAATATTACGCTCTTTGAAATTAAGTATGATAACTGCCAAGTATCGTACTCATTTATTATCAGTGTCGCTCGCATTAATTATTCAGTAGGCCTAAAATAATCCTTTATTATAATCTGACTAGTTAAAATCTATGTAGAATAAATGGTTTTGAACGGATGACAGTATTTAATTCATTACTTTGAATTTTATTTTAACTACACCTAGATCCCTTCTAGAGTTACTGCTGGTCTCTAGCCCGGTAGAAACAGGGGAGTTGGGCATTAAGTCAGCAACCTCACCCAGTAGAGAAGAACATTTAAAAAACCGATAAACAGAATAAACCAACTAAACCATTTAAACTCTTCTGTGGGAGTTCAAAGGTCTTCAAATAGAAGAGCTCTAAAGCATCATGATAAATGTCGAGACCATTCGGAAACCACGAGACAGATCACACTTCTGACATCCTGGATCACAATAAGCATAGGCGTATGAAAGGTCATTCAAGTGAACGAAGTAATCAAGAGATGCATTATTAAGTGAAATTATACTAGTTCCTTTAAATTTTCTAAGTCATTTCACATTTTATACTCCCCATAGTTCTCTACTTCTACACTATTAATATACTGATAGATATTGAACCTTTTACTACACTCTTCGTATATTGCATAGTATGATCAAAATATTTGGTTAATATATAGTGATCGCACAAACAATGTGTCTTTAATTCATTATGTATTAATGTAAAGTAGCCTAAGTAAATAAATTATCAAGCATTAGGGAAACGATTTCCAAGAAATTTCTGACGAAATGATTTCCAGGTCATGAAAATTCTACATCCCATCAAAACTGAATGCTTCACATGGAATTATACTGATCAGATCTCATGAAGAGAGGATTTACAATCAATTAAATAACTATTTTAGTGGGAAGAAAGTGACCATGGACCAATTGAGCACTTATTTCAATATTTCACTGTTTTTTTATATTAGCGTTTATATCCTCAAAATTTATCTTTAGAGATAACAAAAAGTTCGCAGTCGGTTCAATGTCATCCATGTTTTGTGATAAGATAACTTTTTTTCGTTTGTGTGAAAAAGTCATCAGATTTATTGAATTCGATTATAAGTGGGAAGTCTTTAATTCACATTTCTATCTTGCGTTCAAGATTACCCCTCACATTTTTTCATTAACTATCAATCCCACGCATTGTTGCGTACATAAGAATACACTGACTTAACCATGCATTCACACACTTGAAGAGCTAACATCCTAGATAAATTTCTATCTTTAAAAAACGTAAGGGAATTTCAATACAATTTGTCAGTGAATTAGATGCAGTGTTGTGTATGTCACTTATTTCGACTGATTTACGTAGAATGTGACACCAATCAGAAGTGGAATGCATACCGACAGAGGATTGAGAAGAACAGAAAGCGAAACAAAAAGTAATTGTAGTAAAAACAGATATGAAAGATTCATGAAGCATACAGAGGACAATTGATGAAGGATGTGCAAATGAAGTATTTAATGTATGGTTTTCATATTTTATGAAAGCACCCTGTAATCTCACATTCAACATGATATACCTGGTTTTGAGAAACACTCTTCTAGGTAGAGAATAGTGACATTACTCGGTTGCTTAGATTTGAGTACATCGAACGGGACCCAAACTAGTAACTCAGTTTCCTATGAACTATACTTGTAACCGCCAAATGTCTACAAAATAATCAACTTCTCATCTATACCGAATGTTAACTGAGTAATATTTCAGTACCCATAAATAATCTCGTATATCGTGGCTAAAGTTAATTAAGTTGAACACTTTATGATTTCACGGTCTAGTTAGGTTTTCTCACTTGGAATTTCGGTTTCTTTAGAGTCTAGTAGTTTTTATTTTTCTCCATCCATAAAACTACAAAATGCTCAGTTCAAACCTTGGAATATTTATACAACAGAGTTTCAGAAAAGGGTGTAAAAGATGTTTCTGATTTCGTTGCATGTAGAGTACACGTTCGCTTTTTTTGCAGTAATGGAATTTGACAGACAAATTTACAGACGAACTGATTGCATAGTGGAGAACTTATCTGTAATACTTATTTTAACTAATAATTTTTCCTGAGGTTATAAAATAAGTAACTCTGTCAAATAGGCTTTTGAGAAATTGGATATGCTCTACTATTATATTAACAATGCTTTCTATATTATGAACTAAAACATTCATAGAAACGGGTGTTTCAGACAATGTTATGGTATACACTCTTCACTCACGGAGATGAAATGTGATGGAAAATTACGTTTTTTGGAATCCTAGTATACAAACGAGTCGATACATTGATTTGTCAAAGTTTGTATGTAAATAATATATCTACTTGTCAATACACATGTTTCTTTAACTTCATATTCATTCGATATATTGATAAAATTATTGAGATGACTTACGAGCGGAGCCAGGAAGAGCTGTTCGGATAATATAGTAAAAAAGGAATAAGAGATCATTAAAAAAATGTTCACTGAAACAAGTTACTTTGGAAGTCTTTTGAATAATCTTATGAATTAGGCGAAGAGGAAGTCAGATGTATTGACTATTAGTAAAAAGTGTGTGACATGTAAATAAAGATTTCACTAAGAGCTTTAAATTAGAAAGGCGAAGAGACAATACCTTTATCATCATAATAACTTACGTCTACATTTGATTGTTCTTGTCGTTTCGATGACGTTGGAGAACATTCAGTGATTTTATTCATTTCTATCAACTCACTTCCAGTGTATTCGATTGACTTTGATAATTTAAAGCAGTCAACTTCATTTGAATTTGTTTTTTCATAAATATCAGTAATATTTTCAATGCTCAATAGATCTGTTTTGTATAGACTGTACAAATCAACAAGCGGAAGTTTCTTGTGTAGTAATACATCTATATATTGATCTAATTGATATGTTGGTATAATCCTACAAAGTAATGGTATCACATAGAACATTAAATCAGTAATAAGGACTCATTTTATGAGAAACAGGCATTTAGTGATCCCGATAATAAAAGAATGTACTTCCTAAATTTAGAGCTAATCTTCATTATGAATCAACATTAAATATGGGAACCAACAAAAATTAGGTACCACTGGTTTGCGGTTTCTTTAAAGCAATACTGAAAACAGACATAGATGGCAATTGAATTCATAGTAAACCTGGTGCAGTTAGGTCAATCAATCAAGATTCACTTATTTGTATTTTAAAATTCAATCAACTTGTGCTGTTGCAAGTTTCGAAAGCAGTCATATTACTCTGCACTTGGCAATGTTTCTGAATGAAAAATAAATCCTCAATAAAGTAATCGATGACCCAAGGTGTTTGATCCTGTACAGAGCCAGGGGTTCGGTGTGCTGAGGAGTCCTGAAGTTGGACGAAACGATTATTCTACACTCATTGTCTTCCTATTGGTTCTCCTGATAGTGTTAATTTGTCATGAAAACGGTCTTGTAATTCAACTAAGATGTTTTACTCTATTGTTTTGGTTATTTGTGTGGGATTAGTTTCGAGCGATAAGTCAGTTTACACCTAATAATCATTCAATTTTTAATAAATAATACGTTAATTTTCTTTTCACATCTTGTATTGACAAAGCACATGAATACTATCTTATCCTATGAGTAACTTTTAGTTTCTTGCTCTTGTTTCAATATCTTTATTGATCAATATGTGAGGATCATGTGCAAGTCTTGCGTCATATGTTGTTTTTTTGACTAGTCATTTATCGTTTGTTGTCCTATCTTTATGATATTGCTTTCATGCATGAATTAGTAATTTTCAGCATGAAGAAATACTTATCTTGTGATATGAAGTCTTTAATTTATTTTGCAATTCTATTTTAACAGAATGGTTTCAATGCTACTGGAAGTGAAGATTTAGTAAGTTTATTTATGTATTTGTGTTATTTTTGTTACTTTTCAACGTACTACGGTTTCTTTTCCGCACACAATTCTTGTTACACCTTTTTTAATGTATGCTTAAGTACTTCGTGAGCCACTGTTCGTTAATTTATCCTTTAACCATAATGTCAATCTTATGATTGAGTAAATTCTTTTTCTAACTTTCCAGATGTAAAAAATTGATGCTTACTTAGGTTTTGTAATATCCTTGTCTCCATCATCTGTAATAGTGGTGACAATAAAATTCTGAACCTTGGTTTATTATTTGGTACGATTGGCTGTCAGCTATTTGGTCATAATTGTCAATTGTACTGCTCCTTCAGTTTCTCTAAATTTAATGCTTTGCTTGTTTACGGAACATTTTTTGATCTTTGTATATTCGATGTATTGCACAGTCATTGAAATACAGTTACAGTTTATTCAGACTACAATTCAGCTGTCTAAACTTTAAGCATTTAGCCCTATGTTGTTTACCTGAGCATACTTTGTATTGAATTACCACTGTAATTTTTTGTACCCAGTCAGCGTATAATGTTCATGTACTAGTCTTGTAAACTTCATTTTATTTAAAAAATCATTAAGTAGATCAACCACCAGTCAGTCAGTCACAATGTAGAACCCGTACGTATGTACATCGGTTCAAGTTATCATACTCAATTAGCACAGAGAGATAAGGTTTTCAGACTGAATCCTAGAATAGTAGAGGTAGTAACAGTATCAGTGGTAATAGGGAAGATTAGGCATCGAAGATACGATTCGAGAATAAAATATAAATTACTGAAATAAAAACACAGAAACGGTCATGAGGAATTTAGAAACTCCGAATTCTGAGGAAGACAAAGAATGAATCCACCTGCGTCATTGAAAACGACTTTGAACCAGGTCATTCGAAATCTCTTACCACTGACTTCAATAACCACGCAGACCACATCCAGATAGTCTATTCCTATAAGCACGGCTAAGTCCAATTGTCAGTGACTTCATGGACGTGCGACATGATTTGGTTTGGACGCTCTTGCCTTTCTTCCAACCTACTCCTACAACAGAAAACATGACGCTTCGATGTAGGCAGCGATTGGACATGCGTAACACATGTCCCAACCACCTCAAATGATGAAGATTTACTATCTGTTTGATCGATTTCCCATCTTTAGATAGTACTCTATTCCTAACACAGACATAGCTTACTAGACGATCCCAATTGGGTCTGCAACCCGATCCCGTAGAAAACGACTTTGCTAAAACACTGGTATCCAGAATAAGCAATTTAACTCATTTAAACTGTGACCTGAGAGTTGAAGAGTCTTCATGGTGATAGCAGAGACTTTACAGAAGTATCGAGGTCAATCGCCTTTTCCAGGTCAGAGCAACGATTAATATAAGTACATGGAATGTTCGGACAATGTGGTGACCGGAAGAACAGGTTAAATAGCTGCGGAAATGAGGAGATACAACTTGGTGGTGCTCAGAATAAGTGAAACACATTGGACCAAAGCTGAACAGCAAAGGTTAGGTACGGGAGAGATGCTGCTGTATTCCGGTCACGAAGAGGAATGTGCTCCACAGACTCAAGGAGTTTCTCTGATGCTGTCCAAAGAAGCACGAAATGCACTTATAGGATGAAAATCTCACAGATCCAGGATCATCAAAGCATCTATCAAAACAAAGAGAGATGAAATCATAATGAATGTTATCCAGTGTTATGCAACCACCAATGATATCAACCACGACAATAAAGATAAGTTCTGTGAAAGGCTGCAATCGATCATAGCGAAGTGCCCAAGAAAGGATCTCGTCATCCTTATGGGGAATCTAAACGCCAAAGTGGGAATGCACAACACCGGATATGAAGATATCATGAGACAACATGGTCTGACTGGGAGAGAAAAACGAGGATGAGGAGAGATTTACAAACCTATGTGCATTCAACAAATTGTTTGTCGGCGACACAACATTGCCTCACAAAACTACATAGGTTTCACCGAATCAAACTACAGTGAATCATATTGATCATATTTGTGTGAATAAAAAATTCAGAAGGACAATGGAGGATGTGAGAACCAGGAAAGGAGCTGATATAGCTTCAGATCACCACCTGGTTGTGACTAGACAAACCAGCAGTGGGAAACAAGCAGGATCAAACACCTTACCAGCTGAAGCACTGACGTCAGGCATAAAAATAACCGCAAACGTGTTTCACATTCTATTTAAGAAGATTCAGAGGGATAAACAAGTGCCGACAAACTGGAAAGTAGGATACCTCATCAAGGTACCAAAGAAAGGAGACTCAGTAAGTGTGAGGACTACAGAGGCACCACACTACTATCAGTATCAGGAAACGTTTTCAACAGTGTTGTTGAACCGGATGAAAAATTTAGTGGACGTCCGAATTCGAGAACAACAGGTCGAATTCCATAAGGATCGATCGTTTACGGATCAAATCGCGACACTATTGATTATTGTTGAACAATCAAGTGAATTGAACTGGTTGCCATACATCAACCTTCTTAACTATCGGAAGGCATTTGACAGTGTGGATAGGAGAATCTTGTGGAACCTTCTTCGACACTATGCCGTACCTGAGATCGTCACTGTAATATGGAACTCCAACCCCTACAAGGGACTGAAATGGAAAATGGAAGAGGACTCGTAGATACAATTTGGACAAATATGAATGGTTTGGACTTTGTAAATTACCCGTCGTTTCTATGAAATACACAGCAACAAATACAAATAATGACCGCTAGTTTAGCATTCGTTTCCCCAGCAGTAGACCTCAAGATTCTGAAATACAGAATAACCAGCATCAATCAATTCACAATTGGCGGATAAGCTGTGAAAGTGGTGGAAGCCTTCACTTAACTGGATAGCAACATTGATAAGTGAAGAGGATTTGATGCAGATGAAAGGTGGGAATCGGTAAAGCAAGGACATGATTCCTACAATTAAAGAATGTTTGGAACTCAAATTATCTACAATCCAACACCAAAAATAGGATTTCCAACACAATCGTTAAAAATTCTTTAGAATAGAGGAGAAACGTGGAGAACTATACCACCATCACCAGAATAATATTGATGTTTTGAAACAACTGCAATAACAAGATATTTCATATCCTTTGGCCAAACACCATGAGCAACAACGTAATGTGACAGAACAAACTGATTTCCAGCTGAAGATGAAATTATTTAAAATATTGGTGGTAGATAGTGTACACTTTGCTGGAAATGTCAAACTGTGGTGTATACTACTTATTTTTGTAGTTATAAGTAGTATATAGCACCAGTCGGGAGTGGAATGTCGGAGTGCAGAAGGCTGAAGAGATGGAAACGAAGAGAAAGAAGAGGGAAACTGAAAGCAATCAAGATAAAAAGAGGAATAAAGGAACAGTGAAGCTTTTAAGAGGCAAATCAAATTAGACTTGCAAGTGATGTATTTGATGTATGATTTTCATATTTTAGTAAATAACTTCAAAATTATCCCACTATATAAGCCTTAAATAGGAGTATTCAAGGTAGTCCGAAGAGAGGCTGACCAACGACACATGGGTCTGTAGATTAGAGACAGAGGTCAAGGTCATGAATAACACCTCGAAACAACTGAAGAGGAGCGCCTAGGAAAGAGTTTGTTGGAAGTTCCTGATTGGCGGTGTATCCTTCAAGATAGGTATCCTATCTAAGTATGGCCTAGTATCATGGAAACTCAGTGTAGTACTTTTCCATCTGACAGGTGAATACACCTACGTAATTTAGTTCAGGTTATTATTTATAAACTTCAAGTACAAACTGACATATATATTTTGATTATTCAATTGGTGATGAATGAATGGAATAAAAAAAACTTCAAAGCCAATCGAATAAAATAAATGGAGCGTAGCTAGCAGTGAAATCCAGGACACGCGTTTCATCCTGCCTGAAACGCGTCAGTTGGATATCTCTTCATTCCATAGTTAATGTAGCTTTTCTCATCTAGGTCTTAATGGGAGGAAAATTACTTACTTACTTACTACTTGAAATGAATTCTAAACTGGCACATTTAAATAATGCATATTATCTTTCAAGTATATAATTTAACCAAATACAAATGTGAATGATTGAAATGATAATTATGAATCATAGGATTTTAACTCAGCATACTAAGGATATTATACGCAGAGGAAAATTCGAAAGGTCCGTGCTCAATCACGTGCGGCGTTACTGGTACTCACTGTTAATATGTCTTCATATAGAATGTAACAGCCATCTAGTGTCCACTAGTTTTAATTGATTTCTCACACATGACGGCTCATGGTGTAAACTGGAATTAAATTTAACATATTTTCATAATCCACTCAGTTTAAAAAGAAGTTTAGTTTTCAGATTACTGTCAGTTTCCATAACCTGACTACATCGAGAAAATATATAATTACCAATTTTAAATGTTAAACTATTGACTCAAACGTATTTTCACAAAAAATTGTCAGAAATCCGGTGTGTTATAATTTAAATCTTTTACATTTTCTGATTGGAAACTGAATTCAAACAATATATTTGTTATGTTCATATTATTTCAAAAATTGAAGTTTATTAAGATTATTAATCTCCTGAAATTTAAATACAAGATTTTCCCCGAAACATTACACGATTATATGGATCAAAAAGAATACTAAAAATTTATCAAATTCAAATTGTGCTTTCAAAATGTAGCTTTCTGATAAGTTTTTCCATTTTGCTTATCGTTAAATTGGTCCATTGGCGATTAAGTGAGACTATGGATCATAGCAACTGTAATTAAAAAATGAAGCAGAAATTACACTCCTTACTCTCCTTTATTTAACAAGCTTCAGGATACATCATTTTTATCCCCCTTCAAAATACTTACTATAAGTATCCAAACATCAAGCTGTTCAGCTACCTCTCATTTTATACGTTCCTAGAATATTTTACTCAGACAGTTTTCTCAAATTTAGTTTATCAGTAATTATCCACACAGTGAATCAGTGATTGGTGAGAGCAAGAGGTCACACATATGATTTACCCTAATCAATAAAGGTCGACTATTATCACAGACCTGTATCATACTTCAGTTCTATCTGCTTACACTGAAACACCTGAAAGAAACATTTTGTCAATGCGTTTTCTTTATAAATAATCCTCAGAATTTAACAGATAACTTTATAATTAATAGCTTATATAATCAATTAAATACTGTCCGTAAGTAAAATGGTGGTTGGAGGTGGTCAACAGGAAACCCTGGACCCGGGTTTTGTACTACTTGGCACTCGTCAGCAAGGTGTACCTGTAATCTTGAGGGAACTGATGCACCCTGGCGGATTCGATCCCGTGTCACTCAGCTTCACAGTCTGTCTGTAAGTACATGTCGATTAATACGATTATAATCATTAGACATTTAACCTCATAATAATTTAATTATAAATTCAAATTTATCTTACTTAAACAAGCCTCTTTCTCGACTAAATTTTATCTTACATTTGTTATTATTAAATTTTATAGTATTTTTGATATAACAAATAAAAGACAAAATCATGTTTAAATTCATTGTGATTTTTGTTTAGTATTGCTTTCATTGTTTAATTCAATATAGTAAATATTCACTGTAATAAATTTTTTTTAATTTTTCAGTGTGTGTGTGTGTGTGTATAATATTGACTTAATTCTGTATGATTTCATTCTAAATTTTTTTTTATTCAATACTCATTACTGACATAGAGTATGTGATTGGTTATAATTGAGGACATCTTTCGTATATGTGACATTTTTTTAATTGATAATCATAATGGGTGTATAATCATAATATATAAAAAATGTATTTTTAACTAGGATTTTCGTATTTTGGATTGAATAAATCTTCACATGTATCAGTCATGGTGTTTGTTTTTTTTTACTTCCCATCATAGGAATTGTAATGGATCCTTGTTTTTAAAGTATAAGTACTGAACGACACAGATGAAAACAATTCTGAATCACTGAATTAATGTGATTCAACTGATAAAAATAAGTATTTAGTCATTAAATATTTAAAACGGTTTTTGATTTACTTTAGATCTTATTGTACTACTTTTTATGACACTATATTCAGTATTTTAGGTGTAATTATTTGAAACAAGACGAATATGTAAGTGGTCTAGAGGTTCACGACCCGCGCACGAAACTGATAGGTCCTGGATTCGAATCTCGAGAGGCGGGATCGTGGATGCGCACTACTGAGGAATTCCACAATAGGACAAAACGACCGTCCAGTACTTCCATGTTTTCCATGGTAGTCTAGCTTCAATTGACTAATGATCTTAACTATTAGAATATGTAAGTGTTGTGATTTGAATTAAATACTGACTTCTCCTACCGGTACGCTGTTTACTATGGGTTTGGATAAAATGCCAATTGTTACTTAACTACACAAGATAGCTATTCTACCCCAAAGAAGGAAAAAACTAAAGAGGACTGATTAATTTATCAACCATTAATTAAATGACATCTACAATAATAGTAATAATAAATTAAGTTTCATTTTAAATGTTTGATTAGTGAGTAGATTTGAATGAATGGAAGTATCAGTGAGTCAATAATCTGATTAGGGAACACATTTGCAAGATCAATAAATTAACTGACTTGACTGAGGATTATGCTTTACCACTGAATCATAACTTTGTTCCCTTCCCAACGTTTAGGAGCTAACATGAAAAATAGGTGTGTTTTATAAAGTATCCATCTGTTCTAGACTAGAATGTTTTTAGTGCAACTAGTGCATGATCAACACAAAAATAATAAATGTAAGGAAGAAGAGTTATATTCCCATTATCTTACTTTTAAAAATCCTCATAGAATATTCAAAAATGAACAATATTTGAGCGAACAAGTGTTTTCAATAACTTCATCATCAGGCTCTACAGTTATAAGCCCATATTGATTGTGATCTTTTACAAAGGCCAAAATGAGGCACGTATTAATGAATTTGACAATGTTATATGTTAAAAATGGTGAGTGTTTGCATCTGTCACGACATATATACTTCAAAAGTGTGTTATTTATAAAATAGAAATATAAAATCCCACACATTTCTCATGCAATCACTAAGTGATAACTTGTGCATCATATAGGCAAAGTGCGGAGGTTAAATTATGTAGAATTTCTATTGCAATGATTTACAAATCAATAATGAAAAGACATAAGTAGTCTGGAATAATATCGCTAACCCTTAAACTCGACCTAAATTTAGCAAACCTAAAAAGTATGACTTGTAAATACTCATAGAAGACATTAGATTTTAATCACTAATTGTATGGCTTGTACATTACGGTTGTTGAGATTCATAACTAGAGTTAATAAGTCTCTCCTATCATATAGGATCCTTAGGTTGATGTCTCAACACCTGTCTGTAAAAGTTGGTTATATTTTAGACAATGATTAAGAATGAAATCCAAGATGTAAATGTATACTGTGTTTGAGTGTTATAGTGGACATCAACAAGGGGATCTAGGTACATCCAAAGGATGGAAACAAATTACAATGAAATACCCCTTCTGAACTCCACTATGACCAACTATCTATAATATACTGTTTTACTTTTAATTTAAATAATTACTAAGCCATTTTAATGTTAACAGCAAACGGAATTTATGTGATATGATGAACCATGTTTATTTTCGTTGCTTTGAAATTTACAAAAAACACTATACATTAAAAGAATTGACCATTTTTGTCTTACGCCAGCATTCCAAGAACACCATGTTGACGACAAACAGCTTGTTGTTTTAAACTGATATCATTCAAATCAACAGGATTACCATTTGCTGGACGAGCTACAATCATTCGAATTAAAACTGTTGGGTTGCTCATTAGTTGTTGATTGGTCTCGTGAATTTCATTAGACTCAATTTGATTTGAATCTATTTGGCTTGGGGATAAAGTATATTTTTCCGAACGTATATTAATAGTATTGGTAAAAGTTGATGAAATCCTGTTTGTTGATGTCTGTGTTCTGATACGTGAAGTTTTTTTATTTATTGTGTTTGTGGACGTCTCATCCATCTGCAGAGAATCTTGTTTTAACACACTTTCAGATAGACAATTTGATATAGTTTGGCGTAGAACTGTAGCCACTTGATCTGGTCCATAACTTCGAACATTATGGTCACGAATGCAGACAATATGGTCACCAAGTCGAAGACGACCATCCTTAGAAAGAATCAGTATAAACGATAAGAAAGAGATGAGGTAAAATTATCATGTATTACACTTAAGATCACATGAACTGTTAAAATTAAACACTAAGTAAAGTTTATGTTACCTCTTACTTCAGAGACAAAGCATAATAACCAAGTCGTGAACAGTCACTACGGATAGGACCATACATTAACTTCTTGATAATGTAGTAGAAAATGAGTAATAATCAACGCGTTACATCTTAATGTGGAAATGACGTCCACTCAGACATATCAATGCAAAGGAAATAGAATCAAAAACAGAGAACCATAATTATAATTTATTGCTACACAAATAAGTCTCTGGAATTCGGAATTCCAAAGTTACACAAGTGAGGTTTGTTCAATAACATATAAAAAAGTGATAACTAACCACTGATAACAGTATCCTTATCTCTCTGTCAGTCAATTCGTTTTTATGAATCAATGTACTTCTTAATCAATGATGATAAGAAAGGATTCCATGGAATTGTTATCATTATTGAACAAAATACAGAGCGATGTCAACTGAAGTCCTATGGAAAACCAGAGAATGATAACTGTTTCATATAAATGACGTGCATACCAAACCTTCCCGAGAATTGAACTCGATCCGTGCAAATTCCGTGCTGAAAATTTATTTTAAACTGTACAAGGTACCTGTAAAGCTATTTTGACAAATACATTGAGGTTCATTTCCTAAATCGCTAGTAAAAAACCGTGTTCTATGTAGTCAATCAAGTTGTGAGCTCCTATTGAACAAGCAAACATTAATGACATTGACCAATGTAAATGCTAACAAGCTTCAAATCAACTATAAATTCTAAGGAAAAATCCAGTAAAAATACATGATGCTCATAAGTATAGTTAGAAAACTGCATAAATATGACTAAATCTCTGTAATGAAACTAACCTACTTTGTAAACAACGACCTCAACTAACACTGGTTAACTTACTAATCTTAGTAAGCTAACAGTTATCACTAAAGTCAATATTCAGTCTAATGAAAAAATAATTTCCATCGGTTGAATAAAATCATCAAAACATGATTGCAATCACATTTTATTGTTTCGCAGGAATTTTCGATATTCTACGGATAAATTATGTGTGTTAAAATTAAGCAAATCAGAAGTGTGTGACGATTGTCTACCAATGATATTTGACTGTAGATTGTATAATATCTCAAAGTGGAAAATATTGTCTGGTAAATTTAGACCAGGAGACCTGAAAGCCTCGGATCCATACTAACAAAGAAATAATAACCTAAGATGAACTTTTCATCTGTTAACCCCAAGTTATCAAATGTTTTTCACTTAGTGCTAATCAGTGATCCCCAAAAATCTTCAAATTAAATATTAGTAAATTTTTAACAATACAATAATAGGCCAAGTAGAGTTTTTGTCTTTAATATTGTCTTACCAATTCAGCCGCTCCACCAGGTGTAATGCATCTAACGATTACACCTGTGCTCTTACTTCCACACATACCAAATCCAAGATGTGTAGCATTATCAACTATCAGTTCAATTACTTCTATCTCTGTCCAATCTGTATTTAGCTACAATAAAAATATTTGTAAAGTGTGAATTAATATACTCATTCAGAACATGAGTCAGATGATAGTTTGCTTAGATAGAACAACTAATTTTCCACTATTAGTAAGCTATAAGACTAATTTTTATTATTCAGAATAGAGCTATAGTTAGTGCAAGAGTGGTTGAGTGGATGAAACGAAACAAACGCTGATGTTAATCTGGGATGTGAACTATCCTTAATCACTCATCATTCATCACTGAAAGATAATCTGAAAATCGTTTGAAAGTAATTCACATATTACTAGTTAGTAGGTTTTAATTTAATATCAGTCTAAACCAGCAGCGTTCAAGAAAGTTACTAAATTTATTAAAAACCTAATCATAACAGGTGTTATACTGTTTGTTTAAACTCAGTTGAGTGAATAGATTTTCCGTGTTCAAATCATTCTAATTTTCCAAGTGAAAACGGTATCTGAATGGTTATATTTTAATAACAAGTGATCTGTTATATACCCTTTATGGTTAACCAAATCCTATAAATCAAAGTATAGTGCGGTCACCAATCTAAGAAACCCAACATCATGACATAAATACTTAGATCTATGCTGGATACCATCTATTAAAATAACAATTCTATAATCTCAATATAATTCATGCTACCGTTTGTAATCTGACAAGTATCATATAATGTCACATTCAGACATATTACCATCGAGTTGTTCGGGCTCCAAATAATTTTTTTAGGACTAACATATTCACCCTAACTGATTACTGAATAAGTAAACAGTGGTACCCTATCTATGATCTGTAGATCACGTTAAAAAATGAAGAACAATACAACATATGTGATATTACTATATAAGATGTCCTGATGTTAGGCTGTAAGAAGAGGTTGGGATGTAACAGTCGATGCGTTTTTAGTTCGTATGTGCACCATAAGTATCATTACAATCTTTAGTATACCTTACTGATAAAGGTCATCTAGTAAAAAATCTAGATTTGAAAATTCTATAGTTACCGATGTTTAATTCAACAGTGTACTGAATTAAAATCAAATAATAAAAACTTACCATTGTTTTGACCCTTCTTGTCTCAGTTCCTTCGATTAATTGTTTTCTAATTGGAGCGTAATCGTAAACAACTATCTGGAATCAGTTTAACTATTTGGCTATCACTTCTGCTTTCCCATTACGCATCTTAGATTTTCTGATTATTCGGTTGTCGATGTGAATCAGTCATATGGTCCTGATAATAAAGCGAGGTAGAGAAGAGTCAAAAAACATATACCCCAAGGTGATTAATTTCAAATTGGTGTTTTATTAGTCGATGAGTTAATGAGGTGGAGAGCAGTACTTTTAGAAGTCTCAGAAAGCTCCAAAGCACCAAGATAGCTTTTAGCCAACCAACACCTTTAATTGGTCTGCAGGGAAAACCAGTGGCCGTCACGAAGTACCTGGACTACTACTCACTTAAGTATCTGTTACAAAGGTATTCAAAATCCAAGGACAGTGGGTGCCATATAAACGTCTTTCGATTTCTTTGACTAAAAAATCCACCGTATTATCAGAATTTTATATTTCAATATCATGATATTTGATCCTGATAATTGAATCTAGAAAACTGATTAAGAAGTTTGGACCAGATTGCCAGGCGAAACGTTGGATTTAATTTAAAAAAATTCATTCGCTGAGATTTTACAAATATATTATTCCTATTTAATGATTAAGAAGTTATTATTGCAATCGTTAAGTTTCAACATTATTATGGGAAGAATTGAGAAGCACACTGGAGAAAGATTCCTCTATGTCTATAAAAAAAATGTCTATCTGGTAATGCCAATTGACTTGTTAAACAAGTGGTACACTATTCAGATGGTGAGACAGACTCATGTCACTGGGTTATTAAAGTTGGATCAATATCTCCATAATAACAAATAATTTTAACAAAGATTAGAACTATGAAATTTGATCTCGAATCCATTAATTGCTTCTGCTGTAGAGATTAATAGAAATTTGTAGGTGGCACGTACTTCACCACGAAGAGTTTTTGAAGGATTACTCGCAAGTGGTGGAAATGCAGAAATAGTAATACTATGGTTATACGTAAGGTTGCAAGTAAAAGTGGTAGACTGACTGATAAGACTGTTTATATTCGTTGTTAGGAATAGTTGAGACACATCTCTAACATCTCACTACGTCAACTCACAGATCTAGCTTGCAGAGGAGTAGGTTGGGAGGAAGTTAAGGCAGTCCAATAGAAGTTATATCATTCCATGGAGTGAATGTTGATCTTATGATTATAGTAGTTGCAGTATACTGGGTTTGATCCTAGGGATATCTGTAATTCATAGTTGAGGATGTTTACTGACAGTCCAACATCGGTACAGTTATATTCATTCCCTGTTTTCTACCAAACCTTAAGTTCATTGTCATTCTCTGTTCTTTTATCTTCAGTTTTATTTAATCCATAAATAACGGTTGTTTGAATATTGTCGTAGATGTTAAGGACTACAATTGACCAGTCCCTTTTGGGATATTTGCACTCGATAAGGGCTGAGAACTCTATACCTTTAAGTCACAATCATTTGTAAGCGGAGTTGAACAGTAGCTAGTAATGAAATCAAGGAGGTACGTTTTGTCTTATTTAGGACTCGTAGGCTGGGCGTGTCTGCACCAGAGTGTTGATGTTCACACGTGGACTCGAACTAAGTAGATTTGTCTTTAAACGCCTAATGCGTTGTTCACTTATCTACTGGGGTCTGGTCATCACTTCTGCCGCTGTGATACTGATGCTCCAAACTGACTGTATCAATTAAGTAGTCAAGTTGCAAGTTCGAGCTGTGAGGCTCTTTACTTTAATTTGGTCGCCTGTCACGGATATGGTTTACATGCCACTTCAGACGTCACGAGCATCAACTGCGTGCATCACGTCACGATAACACTCGCTACCCATATAGGTCCATATTGTTGAAGGTCTCTTACATACACTGGTAATACATTAAAAAACTAACAATCAATTTTCTTCACCTTCGGTTTATAATCTCGTCTGGGTATGGTAGGCCGGTATGTTATTGCGTCCTTTAAACAGAAGTTCGAGATTTCCGACGTGAACTGAGGTTCACTGTTTGTAACTAGTGTTTCCGGAAAAGCAAACTGCCCCAAAAGCCTATTCAGAACCTTTATGTTTGAGGTCGATGAGATCTGAGGCATTAAACAAATCCCTGGTCACTTCGCAAACGAGTCAGTGGTGATAAAAAGGCGTTTATTAGCCCAGCAAAATCAGCATGAACACGGGACCATGATAGAGACCTCGGCGTGTATTGATGGTAATCAATTCTCTGGGTGCTTCATCAAATTCTATCTACAGATATGCGTCAGCGAGATCTATCTTTGCGAAACGTCTGTCTCCTTTCAGTTATGCAGAAAGATCACCTGGTGTGGGAAGTGGATACTGGCGTGTTTCTAGGGGATCGTTTAGTTCAGTCGAAAAACCAGCACATATTTGGATTGAACCATTCGATTTTTTTTACTGTTACATTTGATGCTGTCCATAACGAACAGTTAACTGGTTCAAGAACACTCAAAGCTTCCAAGACATCTAGTTTGTTTTTTTCTGCAAAAGAGTGTGCTGTATAAGGCACTCGGAGTTTTGGTTGGAAGGCAGGTTTTGCATTTGATTTTAAATCCAGTTCAGCTTTCACCTTCATACAGCAACCAAGGACGTTCAGAAAAATATTAGGACACTTGCATTTTATTTTTTCGATATGAGAATACGAAGATTGCTGGAGAGTTGAATTGGATACTTCATTACAAATAAGATTAAATGGCTGGTCGAACATTTTTAATTTTGTGATCACGGGAAAATTTCTGTCATCATTTGTGCATCATATGAGGATAGGAAGATACGTGGTTACAAGTAAGATTGGACGTCTGATCGAGCATTTTTCAATCTGAATCACAAAAAAGATTAAATGGGTAATCAAAAATTTTTAGTTTTGTGATCCAGTCATGACCCAATAGATTGAAGGATTCACCAGTAACATAGCATTTGGATTTATTTATTAGATCATTTAATTTAACTGTACATTTAATAATTCGATAAATTTTGATTGGAATGCCCGATGCATTCTTTATTAAGTCGTTAGTAGGATAGATGCTTGGCCGACCAAGTTCATGCCAAGTTTTGAGAGAAATCAAAGTAACATCGAATGCCGTGTCCAACTGCATAGTGATAATACAATCATTAACATTAATGCATAAATACTTGCGTAAGCATTGGGAGTTAAATTTCGACAATACATGTACATAATTGATCTTTTTTGGCATTCAATATTGGGATGAGGGTTCACCGAGTATGTAAAATCCCTCCTTATGGCCAGTTATTCCATATTTTGCGCATTTATGTTTATGGAATGGGTAAAAACGGGAGAAACTTCATGCGTCTAAATTCCAACAACTAGTGTTAGGCACTGCAGAGTGACGTGCATTAGATGCATGGATATAATACATTCGATTCAGGCGATGAAAAATTCGCCAATCATGCTTTACACCATTAACGTGATTCGAATGAGAGATTTTCACCAAATCAAATTAATTGGGATCTAGACGTTGGATTATTTTAGTATCATTGTTAAGATTGATAGTATCACGACATAAAATTGGGATCTAAATGGATTTCGCCTAAAATTCTAGTACGAATATCTGAGTCCGACGATAATTGCAACCTACATACAAATATATGACACTTGAATTGTTCGCCACAAAGGGAACGCAGAGTAAACTCATACTGCCTATTAGCAAATGCTGCATATGAAACAAAATCATCTTCAAGTCTCTTAACGGTTCTAAGACAGTTTTATCGCAAATTAAATAAGGAAGCCTGATTAGTAAAAATTTCTGTTAAATTTTGTACAGTGGAATCACAAGGAGAATCGATAGGTTTTTTTAGCAATATAAGGTTCAAAAATCCCAATCATATTAAAAGACTAATATTTGAACGAAGAATATTCTTTTCGATAAATTCTCTTCAGGTTCTACAATTATATATCCAAATTAATAATCCGAAAAATGGCCAGGTTAAAGGCAAAAAAAAATCAGAGGAAGAGAGTGATGGCCGATTAGCCTTTTTAGACGTCCTCTTAACTAAGAGATCAGATGGATCGTTAAGAAGAAACATGAACAGAAAAAGTATTTGGACTGGACAGTATACACACTTCCTTAGCTTTGTACCTCTACAGTACAAACGAAACCTAATCAAAACCCTTAGCTATCGAATACGCACTATATGTTCGGCGGATGTAGTTGACAATGAGCTAAACACATTGCATAATGCTCTAAGGGAGAACGGGTATCCCAGAAAATTTATAATTAAATATATGATCTTTAAAGTGAAAATAGGCGAATTCCAAACGGTCAAGAAAAAGTCCTTGTTCATGCGCCTACAATTCAGGGGGGATACCGATGGCGAAATACTTGCTCAGAGATTACGCAGATCTATCCAAAAATCTTTCAACGCAGGTGAACTACGTTTGGTGTTTTCTACGCGTCCAATGGTGACACCGAAGCTTAAAGATGAGGATCCTAGAATGACCACTTCATTTTGTATTTGTCAGTTCGACTGCTCTTGTGGAGCAAGTTATATTGGTCGAAGTTCTAGGAATTTACATTTTCGTGCTCGTGAACACCTCCCAGCGTGGCTAAGCAAAGGTCTGATGAGGAAAGTAAACAGCTCGATTTTGGCCCATTTAGTACAAACTGGTCATAGTGCCAGTATAAACCAATCTTTTTAATTATTTATAGGGTCAGTAATTTTTTGCCTAAGCTTGTCAGGCTTAAAGTCCTTCAAACGGCGGAGGCAGTAGTCATCAGAATGAAGAAACCGGAGCTATGTGTACAGAAGAAATATCTCCAACCCCTACTCCTCCCTTGGCCAACCACAAGGCCAATTAATGAACAATCATCTTAGCTATTGTATGACCTAATTTGACTATGTACTTACGACCTTTCGTAGTCAAATGTAATTGTCTCTCTTATCTTTATTCACAAATCTTTGTATATTATTATTATTATTATTA